TTAGTGTACGCGTGTGTACATTTCTTCCAGATAGCTATTCTGTGGACTGTCGAACGTATATACTATTGTGCAATTGGTGGTTCTCGGTTTAGGTCCGCTAACCTCAAAACAGAACCTCGTGTCCGCATCAAGGTCGTGCTCGACATTTAAAATAACAACAACAAGATACCTTTACTTGTTGATTGTATATACTTTCGCTTTTATTGGTTTTGGTTAATTTGTAACCATAATGTGCGCGTGTGAATACTTTTTCTAACCAGCTATATAGCTAACGTGTGCTAACCATTATAATATATCGTACATCTATATATATATTACCTATGTACTGTCGTACGTATATTCTTGTGCAATTGGTGGTTCTCGGTTTAGGTCCGCTAACCTCAAACCAGAACCTCGTGTCCGCATCAAGATCGCGCTCGACATTACAACAACAAGATACCTTTACTTGTTGATTGTACCTACTTTCGCTTTTATTGTTTTTGGTTAATTTGTAACCATTAAAGTGCGCGTGTGAATATTTCTTCTAACCAGTTATATAGCTAACGCGTGCTAACTATTATAATATATCGTACGTCTATATATACTACATATGTACTATCGTACGTATATACTATTGTCCAATTGGTGGTTCTCGGTTTAGGTACGCTAACCTCAAAACAGAACCTCGTGTCCGCATCAAGATCGCGCTCGACAGTTAAATTCACAACAACAAGATATCTTTACTTGTTGATTGTACATACTTTCGCTTTTATTGTTTTTGGTTAATTTGTAACCATTAAAGTGCGCGTGTGAATATTTCTTCTAACCAGTTATATAGCTAACGCGTGCTAACTATCATAATATATCATACATCTATATATATACTACCTATGTACTATCGTACGTATATACTCTTGTGCAATTGGTGGTTCTCGGTTTAGGTCCTCTAACCTCAAATCAGAACCTCGTGTCCGCATCAAGGTCGTGCTCGACATTTAAAATAACAACAACAAGATACCTTTACTTGTTGATTGTATATACTTTCGCTTTTATTGTTTTTGGTTAATTTGTAACCATTAATGTGCGCGTGTGAATACTTTTTCTAACCAGCTATATAGCTAACGTGTGCTAACCATTATAATATATCGTACATCTATATATATATTACATATGTACTATCGTACGTATATACTCTTGTGCAATTGGTGGTTCTCGGTTTAGGTCCGCTAACCTCAAATCAGAACCTCGTGTCCGCATCAAGGTCGTGCTCGACAGTTAAAATAACAACAACAAGCTATCTTTACTTGTTGATTGTACATACTTTCGCTTTTATTGTATTTGGTTAATTTGTAACCATAATGTGCTCGTGTGAGTATTGCTCCTAAACGGTTATATATCTAAAGTGTGCTAACTTTAATAATATCGTACATCTGTACATATATACTATATACTATCGTACGTGTGTACTATTGTGCATTCTATGGTTCTCGGCTTAGGTTCTGCTAAGCGCCAAATAGAACCTCGTGTCCGCATCAAGGTCACGCTGAACAATTACAACAACAACAACAAGTTAACTTACTTGTTGATTACTGGTTAATATTTGCTTCCAATCAGTAAGTGGGCGGATTCGTCAACGTCGCGTCTGACAACAACCACCGTAAGAGCAGTTCAATTTCGGAAAGTTCGCTGCTGCTATTGTGACTTTTCGACTTCGTCAAATCCCTTGCTGTTCTCAAGTATCTACAATTGTTTCAATGGCAACGGCAGAGCCAACCACTACGGCAGAACTGTCAGAACTAAAACAACAGCGAGCCTCGACGAAAGCGAGCATTTCAAGGATCAAGACGTTCGTCAAAGGAAAGAGTAATTCGCTCTCACAACCAGAACTGAAATGTCGACTAGGTATTTTAGAATCATATTTTAAACAAATCTTAGCTTTTCAGACGTTGATCGAGAAATTAGATGCAACTGACTCAGCTAGAGATGAATTAGAAGACCTATACGTTTCCACCAAAATATTAATCATGTCTCAACTGCAGGAAGAGGCCCACAATGCATCAGTGCTAGACGTAACAGCAATGATGCCCACCTCAAGTAAAAAATTACCACTGTTAAAATTACCTACATTCAGTGGTAAGTACTCGGATTATAACAATTTTATTAATTCGTTTCTCCAAATCATACATAGATCGCGAAATATACCTCACAAATATTGAAAAATTTAATCACTTGCTGAACTGCCTTACTGGTCAAGCTCTAGAGACAGTACAGGCATTTCCTATTTCGAATGAAAACTATCCAAAGGCTCTGGATAGGCTTAAATCGCGCTATGACAATAATAGCCTAATCTTCGCCGAAAATATCGCGACACTATTTGATCTACCAGCAGTATCGGGTCAGTCAAGCCAACAACTCCGTAGTCTGGTAAACAATGCATCCGCTTTGTATGGTTCACTCTGTTCGCTAGGTACAGAGAAACAAATATGTGAGGCTCTACTTATCTCGTTAATCATGCAAAAAACGGACGCAATTACACGTAGGAAATGGAATGAATCGCGTAACTTTGACACATTACCCAGTTGGGAAGATTGCTCAAAATTGTTGGATAGACATTGCCAGTTTCTCGAATCACTTGACAGTGGAAACGGCAATCAGTCATCATCACAACGTAAACCTAATAGTCTTAACTCCAAGACTAACAGACGCTCAAAACAATACGCATTTGTTGCATCTACATCTAGCAATTCTTGCTCATTTTGTTCTAGCAATGAACACCTAATACAGAATTGTCATCGTTTTAAGGCACTGGAGGTGGTTCAAAGGTTTGAAAAGGTGAAGAGCCTAAAACTCTGCATAAACTGCTTATCGCCACGCCATCATGTGGTTAATTGTACATCAACGTTTAAATGTAAGGTTTGCGCAAAGCCACATCACACTCTCTTGCATCATTCGCAATTGCCAACGAATATTAAGAGCGCGGGATCATCACGACGCACAGAACACGCTGCTATGCCCAACGACAACGTTGCCAGCCATTCCCATCTTAATATGTCATCGGCCGAGCAAATAATTCTTGCCACGGCATTGGTTTTAGTGAAGGATTCATCGGGAAGTTATCAAGTGGGTAGAGCCTTACTTGATTCATGCTCTCAGGTCAACTTCATAACGGAGGAGTTTTCAAAGAAGCTTAGTTTAGCAAAACATAAACATCGGTTGCATGTTTCCAGTATTGGTAGTTCGTTGACCAACATTAAGTATCAGACGCTCACATCAATCAAATCTCGTCATTCAAATTTTGAACTTGCTTTAAACTTTGGTATTACGAATCACATCGCATATCAACCAAGTTCTGAAATCGATATATCGTCGTGGAAGGTTCCACCAAATACACCTCTCGCCGATGAGCAATTCTTTAAATCCAAGCGCGTTGATCTTTTGCTTGGAGCTGAAAGTTTCTTTGATATTTTGTCTGTCGGTCAAATCAAACTAGGTGAAAATCTTCCAGTACTTCAAAAAACACTATTAGGATGGATTGTATCTGGCAAGTACAAGGGTCAGCCATTTGCATCACCAGCAGCAAAATGCCTATTATCAGTTGAAGATACAGTCTCCGATCAATTAGAAATGATGTGGAAGATAGAGGAAGTGCAATCGGCTTCAAAATCATGGTCACCAGCACATGTTGCGTGTGAGTCATTATATCGTGAAACGGTTCACCAAAATGCGATGGGAAGAATTGTCGTTCGGTTACCATTCAAAGATTCACCAGATTGTCTTGGTTTGACACACAATATCGCCTTGCGCCGTTTTTATTCTGTAGAACGGCGATTGTCATCTAATCGTGCACTGAAGCAAGACTATCAAGAATTCATGAAACAATATCGAGAGCTCGGACACATGACGCGTGTTGAGACTCCGAAACCCAACGAACCTCATTATTATATCCCTCATCATTGTGTTTTAAAACCGTCGAGCACTTCGACCAAGCTGAGGGTGGTTTTTGATGCGTCATGTCCAACAACTTCGCAACGTTCATTAAATGATATTCTACTGGTCGGCCCGACAATTCAGTCGGAGTTATATTTGTTGCTACTTCAATTTCGTTTGCACCGATATGCCTTGACGGCTGACATTGTTAAGATGTACCGACAGATACTGATAGATGAACCAGATCGAAAATTCCAATATATTTTTTGGCGAGATACGGAGTCCGATCCTGTTAGTACTTACGAGTTGAATACAGTCACTTATGGTACTGCATCAGCACCTTTCCTAGCAACCAGGAGTTTGCAGTATTTGGCGGACAAATTTGAAACACAATACCCAATAGGCGCTGCACTCATTAAATCATCGTTTTTTGTCGACGACTTCTTAGGTGGAGCAGATTCCATTGATCAACTCACCAATATCAGACATCAGTTAACGGCCATTCTACAGAAGGGTTGCTTCGATCTTGACAAATGGCATTCAAACCATCATGACTTCATCAGCGATACTACAACAAAGAGTTTGAATCTTGATACAGATACAGTCACCAGCGCTCTAGGCATCAAGTGGCACCAAATGCAAGATGTTTTCCTATTTTCGTTTAATGCACAACCAGGTCATATTGTAACAAAACGCACCATCTTATCCCTTGCGTCTTCATTATTCGACCCGCTTGGATTACTAGCACCGATCATACTCGTAGCCAAAATTATGATGCAAGAATTGTGGCTTTTGCGTGTGGATTGGGACGAGTCAGTCCCTCAAAATCTTCACTCAGCTTGGAAAACATTTATTCAAGATCTTACAACGCTTTCATCGGTTAAGGTGCCGAGGTACTGCCTATCCATAAACTATCAACAGGTTGATGTACACGGTTTCTGTGACGCTTCAATACGCGCATATGGTTGCTGTATATTTCTCCGATCACAAATCACATCAGGTAAGGTGACGGTCAGGCTATTCACTGCAAAATCCCGTGTGGCACCTATAAAGCGGAAGTCGCTACCTAAACTAGAACTCTGTGGTGCCTTACTTCTTGCCAAACTGTATCAGAAGGTCCAACCAATATTTGCGCAATTTAAGGGTGAAACGTTTTTTTGGACTGATTCACAGATTGTATTACATTGGTTGAAGCAGCACTCATCAACCCTGTCTGCATTCGTTGGCAATCGAGTAGCGGAAATTCAAGATATTACCGCAAATGGGCAATGGAGACACGTTCCTACCCAATCCAACCCGGCAGATGTTGTGTCGCGCGGCTGTAACATCCGCCAATTATCAGAGTCTTGTTGGTTTACGGGGCCGGAATTTTTGTTACTCGCTGATAAATACTGGCCGCATTTGAAATGTCACAACCTGGATATGGAAGAAGTCAATAAAGAGACGCGAAAGGTTGTATTCGTTAACACAAATGAAGACAACTACGTATTACAGGTATTGTCAAGATATAGTTCATACACTAAGATGCTACGAGTAATAGCGCAGGTACAGCGTTTTTATCATGTAACCAAGAATAAATTGAAGAATGGAGAATGTACCCTCCAACCTATTCAGCTACAAAAGGCATTGCACTGTATTATTTGGGTCATCCAACAGCAATTCTTCGAAATTGATATACAACGCCTACAACGAGGGAACCCAGCCGAAGGTACATTAAAGCATCTAAATCCCTTCCTGGACAATGTATTCGGTTATCAATTACTAAAGGTGGGAGGTCGCCTCGAGCTGAGTGACATCTCAGTAGGCCAACGTCACCCTATTTTGTTGCCGAAGGGCTGTTATTTTGTGGAACTTTATGTTCGGCATATACACTTGTGCAACTATCATGCAGGCGCACAAGCACTAATTGCCCTTACTCGACTAAACTTCTGGATAATTAATATTCGAGAAATTGCACGCCGAGTCGTGCACTCGTGTATTCACTGCGTGCGTTATAAACCCAAACTACTTAATCAAATGATGGGTAATCTCCCAATCGAACGCCTCACTCCAAGCCGTCCATTCGCGCGTACTGCGGTAGATTTTTGCGGTCCGATATTAACGTATCTCCGAATTCGGGGACGGGTTCCATATAAGACCTATATAGCCGTGTTCGTTTGTCTGTCTACAAAGGCAGCTCATCTAGAAGCCGTGTCAGACTTATCTACGGAGGCATTTATTGCAGCACTGAAAAGGTTAATCGGTAGACGAGGGTTACCATCAGACATCTATTGCGACAACGCCACGAACTTCGTTGGGGCTAACAACAAACTAGCAGAGTTAAAAAGAATGTTTTTCGAGAAGTCTAATCAAGTGATGCTGCAGACCTTTTGCAGCAACCAATTCATAAATTTCAATTTTATACCGCCCCGAGCACCTCACTTTGGAGGTCTATGGGAAGCGGCTGTAAAAAGCGCGAAAGGCCATCTGTATCGAACACTATCAAATACTCGATTCACCTTTGAGGAGCTTGGAACAGCACTGATTGAAATCGAAGCTATCTTAAATTCGCGACCAATCACACCTCATTCTTGTGACCCGAGCGATTATGAAGCGCTAACGCCAGCACATTTTCTTATCGGTGGGCCGCTCAAAACTTTATCTGAACCAAGTCCTCAGTATGAAGCTGCTTCATTAATTGATAAATGGTCTCGTATAACCGCAGTCAAACATCACTTCTGGCGCAGATGGTCTAGAGACTATCTGAATGAGCTGCAGATACGCACCAAATGGACAGAAGAACAATCTAACATCACCGAGGGGGCTCTGGTTTTAATCCATGAAGACAATATGCCTCCACAACGCTGGTTGATGGGCCGAATCGTGCATTGCATCAGGGGTCCAGATAATTTGGTTCGTGTTGTTGATGTGCAAACCCCAAAAGGAGTAATACGGCGTCCAATCCACAAACTCGCACTATTACCAATTGAAAATCCTTTCAAGGGGGGCGGGATGTTAGAGCGGTTAAAGTCAAATTGTTAATATTGTAGGATTCTGTAGAATTATTATAATTGATGTGTTATATGATTTATATATTATATTTTATTATATTTTAATTTATTTTAAATCATATATTGTATAATTAAATTATTATAACTAATATATTATATAATTCATATATAATATTTTATATGGTTAATATATATGGTTAATTAATTTATCTAACTAACCCTGTATAAGATGTAATCAAACCAACGGTTCTAAGTCTTGTTTTTATTGCCTTTTGTTTTTGCGCTCGAGATGAGCAATTTTTTTGTTATATTTTTTGGGCTGCAAGTAAACTCCGTTGGTTTGATGCTGTCTCTTGTTTTTCGATCGCGAACGTGTCAACACACGGGTACACATAAAAAAGTGATTAAACAATCAATAACCGAAATTGTATAAATTCAATTGTATAAATTAAATGAAATCAAAACCCAATTATAAAAACGTTTATAATTTACATTGTGTTAAAGAAATTGAAATAAAGATCATAAAACCCAATTATAAAAACGCTTATAATTTACAGATTGTGAATCACATTTTCCTTTTTAGTGGCTAAAATAATCATTATATCAAACGGTGAACCTCAAAAGGTCGCTGAAGATGACTTATTGAGTTTCTCCGTTAGTATAAAATTAAACGATGATTGCGTTTTATAAATATGCACTACAGCGTGATACGACATTCCAGCTACTTCTGGCAAGGATCAAAACAAAAATTTGAATAGCGTCAAACTATTCGTCCTCATTATGCAGTACTATAATTCGTCGTCGTACAGTACTGAAACAGTTTTTTGACTTAACATCTAGTAATTTTTATTTAATGATTACTTATAAAACAGACCAAATATCTATGAATGTTTATATGTATTTCTGTTCTTATAGCATAAAAATTTTACTTATTAATTTAAGTCTAACACGGTTATGAAAATAGAAATAGTTGCTGTTTCATAAGCTATCTACATCTGTTCACTGTTCTTCTTCAAGTTATAGCCCTACTTTACGTTGCTCTATATTGTTTTACCTTACTGCCTGTTAAGCAGTATCATACCCCGCACAAATGACAACTGCAAAGCGCTACCGCAATAGCATCCACAGGTCCACGTAATGAGTCATATTTCCTTCTCCGTATTGTAGCTTGTAGCTGTTATTTGGTTGTACAAGTTGGCAGACTGGTATTAAGTATTCGTCGAAGCCAATAGAGGTATAAAGAGGTTTTTTCGAACAGTAGTGAACTAAAACAACAAAAATTCATTTTATATTATTTTACTTAATTGAGTTTTTGGCTGACCATACAGCAGTTTCGAGTATTGCCAAATACCCATCATCCGTGGTCTTTTGGAAATATTTTTAATATTTAATTATTTGCAAATAATTTTTTGAGACTGCAAGTACCAGGAATCGAACTTGTGCCCTGCCAAATTTGAAGCTCAGAGTTAGCGCTTTTTAATCAATTGATCCAAAGCCGTACTTCAGTTTTATGTTCGCACATTTTTCTGGAGTTTTGTTACTTTTACTATGAAAGTTTTTTATTAACTTTTATTAACAATTTTACTTGCTGTGTTTATATTAAAACGAAATAATAAGTGTAGAATAAATGAATTAATTAATTAAATTTTTTTATTTTTAATTGTTAAATTTCAATACTATTCTGTTAGAGTTGTTACGACATAAAATAAATATTAAGTATTCAAAACAGTTCTTTTTCTAAATAATTTTAGTGACTTATTATTTAATGTAAAGCAAATTTTATCTAATCACATTTTAAATTAAAAAATATAAAATATATAAACTTGTAGTGGTGGGTATATTTAAATTATAATTTTTGTTTAGTAAACAAATGAAGTTCATTCACATTTTATATTTTATTATTGTTTACATAAAAATATAAAGCATAAATAATGAATTAAGTGTGTGATGTCTGATAAGTGGAATAAACTGTTTTTAGTATCACAGAAATTTTCCAAATTTTTTGCAAATATTTAATTTTTGCAAATATTGACTCAAATATAAAGACTTTCTAATAAGTAAAATTATAAATCAATTTACTGTATGCGAATTTTATATTTATTTATTTATTTTAACTAAAGTATAAACACAAAGTGCTAAACAACATTTTCCCATTAACGATATGGAGGAACATCAGCTGAATGAAATACGCAGCAAAATTATTATTTGTTTTGAATTATTTTTTGTTTTTATCTTTTTTTTATTTTTATAATAATATAACCACAAAAAAGCAAAACAATAACAGCTTCTCCGGCGGGACTGTCAGATAATTTATACTAATACGAAACTAAATATAAGTAACACGCGCAAATGTTAATTTGCTTGCTTGCCCTCTTCAACTACTTTTCCTATATTTTAACCTCAGGCGGCATTTCGGGGTTTGAATGGCATTGAATGGATTTTGACCGACTTAAACGAAATGCTGGGCGAGGTATTTGACCGCAACATCGTCATTTAAAGCACCGAAGTTTCTATTGTTTCAAAATAAATTTCTTCAATATATGAATATGAAATTTCCTTTTAGGTATTTGTGTAAATACGTCTTATAGAAATTATATTAACCTTTTTAATGACTAAACATAGTACGCATCTATTAGTCAGCACTTCAGTGTGTAAATAAATTGGTAAACAAATTATTTGTGATTAATCACTTGAGTAATAATTCCAATACACTTTCATTTATCTATAGATTTTATCGCAATAATTTTATTTTATACGAAATGTATACGAATACATATTTCTTATGGTATTTATTTTATGGTGATTTAATTGCGTCTATTTTTGCGAAAATATTATGTTATACTCCCTTTTTTATAAATTTTTTATTGTTATTATTATTATATATTATTAAATATCTTATCTTTTATTCATTTACTCAGTTATTTATTTGTATTGTGTTTATATTATTTTTTTTAGAATCTTGGATTGAATTGAGTAGCGCTGCCACTATGGCTGGTGTGAAGAGCCCTGATCGCATAACTCCCTTGCCCTTCTCAAATGGTGAGGAATATTTGCGTTTGTTACGTGAGGCACAACGTGAATCCAATCACTCTAGCCGTGTTGTTTCTTTGGCTAGCTCTAGACGTGATACACCTCATGATAGGTAAGATAACATTGTTAGTTTTTACTATTTTATTATTCTAAATTGTTATGTTATTTATACATATTATATTATTAATAGTCCAAAGTCGCCACCGAATACTCCAAACACTGAACGTTGTCCTGACGAAGAGCTTAAAAATGTCTACATAAATTATTGGAGCAAAGTAAATAACCTGGGAAATTTTAATTATAATAACAGTAACAATTGCATTAATTTTTTAGGAGGGTGAAACCCAAAAAGATACTGATTGGTTGGATGAGTGGAGCAGTCGACCCGATCAACAACCACCAAAGTAAGTTCGTATTAAGACATAATGTAGGATCTAATCCTGTTTAACAACAGTCTTCCATTCTTTTCTATTTTTAATTAGCAAAGAAGCCATTTTAAATTAAAATCTTTAAATAATAAATGAAAGGACTTTGCATTAAAAAAAGCAAATCTTTAACTCATCAGTACACCTCCAATGAGGTTGTCTCCCATGCTTAATCCATTCTTGTTTTCAAACAATCCTGCCACCTTTCGCACATTCTTTCATATTATCAGCCATAATAGATCTCCACGAGCAACATTAATCAATTCAATATATACACCCAACTCTTTTTTTACACGGATTTGAAGTTACACGATTGAAAAAAAAATACGGTCTCAAAATCACTGTCTTGTTTGACACTTCGCATTTTTTACACGGATTTCGGAGGAACGTATCTACCGTGTAAAAAAAGAGTTGGGTGTATAAATTTTGTAACCGGGTTTTAGCATACACAGCTTTCTGAAACTACATGTGAATTAAAGTTTTTCTAATAAAATCTTATAGTTACAACCCTATAAACCAATGCTTTAGTTGATTTTAACATGAACGATAATGCTTAAAAATTAATATTAGTGAGTATTTAGGAATGGTGCGAAAAAAAATGCTTCGGTGCCGCTACTCCGCCGTTTGACGGTTGTGTAATACATTAGATGTTGTTGTAGTAGCACGTAGGAATAGTCGATAAGATGACAGGAATTATACGACGAATGGGATGGGTAATGGTTAAGTAAGAGTGGGGATCTGAATAGTTGATGACATGACAGAAATTAGATTGTGGATATGAAATAGTTGAGTGAGCGTGTGTGTTTATGGGGGGTTATTTTTAGAGAGTGGAGTAGGGTTGGGGATGGATGGATTAACCAGGATCAAGACGGATAAAGGTTCGGTGGGGAAGGTAAATAACGAAAGGGAATTTTACAATAATAAATTAGTTCATAGGAGTCGTTTTGTGTTTATTACAAAAGCAGATCGGTAGAATAGGTCTTTTGGTAGAATTAAAAGATAAAGTGTAAGGTAGATATTACGTTATAAAAGATTAACTGGTGTACCAAATAAATGTATATTGCATAAAATTAAAATAAAAAAAACTGAAAATTAACCAAAATAAATAGAAGTTAATAAAAATTTTTTTAAAAATATTTTAAAGTACGATTATGTACACAATATTAATTTTTACTTTTAAAGAAATCACATTTGTGAAGAATGTATTAATTCCCTTTTAGATACAATAACGAATTTTTGTCATATATCAAAAATATTTAATTTCCTTCTTATTAAACATACATTCGAGGAAATCGTAGGTTATTTGTCACTAAATTAACTATAGTTATTGCTTATGTTGAGAACTAATGCATTCTTAAACAATTCTTAAATTAAAGCTATTATTAGTTTCTAAAATTAGTTAATAGCTTGAGAACTAGTTAATAATAAGTTGGGAATCAATTAAGAACTTACATTAGTTACTAACTAGCTGTTTTGTGTGAATATTCAGTAGTTTTAAATTTGAGAATCAATGTAAAAAACTAATTTTCAACTTACATTATATTTGACAATAACATAGTTGATAATTAGTTCTTAAATCGTTAACTAATCATTTGATTTGTTGTGGGTAATCACTAATCATTTGACATGTACATTTGTGGCTACTTCGGGTTTTAATTGAATATTTCCCTGCTAATCAATAGTAGAATACTAAGACTATATTATGGAAAAAACTTGGTTTATGTGGTTATCAATTAATTTAAACTATTTTCTATTTTTTTCTTTTAGAGATTGGAAGTTTGAACATCCACAGAAAAAGAAGAAGGGTCCTGGTTACTCCATTCGACTTACACGTGTTGGAAAGAATTCTCTCTTTTCACGAGAAATTTTGTATTCGCTTATAGTGTCAAATGTCTTGTCTTTGTTGTTGGGCGCTGGTCTAGGGTAAGTCTCTGCTATAAAGTCAGACTGACATTTGTTTTATTTGCCTTTATTTTTACAGTTTGTGGCTAAGCAAGCGTGGTATACTTTTGACTCGCGTCGTCATTGACTGAACTTCTTTTTAAGTTTATTTAATATTGTTTTTTACGAAAATATCATCTTACATTTTTATCTTAATACACTAAATATTAACAATAAAGATTTAAATATGTATTTCTTGTAAGAGAAAATCGAAAGCAATCGAATGTCTTCGCTTTTTTCTTTGGATAACAAAATATTCATACTTTCTTCAAAAAAAAAATTACGGGCTCAGGTTACTGTTTTCTTTTTTTTTTTTGTGTTTAGTATACGCTTAGAAAATTTTTAATTTTTTTGTTTTCTATAAATTTTAATAAAAATTTATATTTTAAATATAAAATAAAAATGATTTTATGAAAATTTTTTGGTAAATGTAGTATATTTAAATGTAGTCAAACTTAATCTTTGTTTGCAAATAAATTTATGATAGAAATTTATTTTAAATTATAGTTCAAAATTATTTAATATTAGAAAAAAAAGGAAAAAAATTCTTTTACATATAAATTTATTTCTTATTATATATACTAATTTAAGAATATTAATTTTTATATACAAACATATAAATTAAAATACAAATTAAAATAAAAACGAAACATATACATACAATATATATATATATATACATATATTAACGCATAATTATAGACTTTTTTATAAAATAATATAAACGTAATGAAAATAAAAGCCGACAAATAAACTATGCTTTTTATTTTTATGATAGAAATTTTGTACTCCGACGTAAAATTTATCTGCATCTACAAACTAATTACGATTACTTTAAATTTTTAAACTCACTAGCTGAATTGTAAGGAAATATGAAAAGCTTTTTATGGAAGAAAGAATTATTTTATTTCTATATAGGGAAATGAAATTTTACAATTTCTCCCGCAAACACGTTTTTGTGAAACTATTTTTATTAATGTTAAATTCAAAAAACTTACTTAACTATGCTATACAATAACGAAAATATGAAATATCGCCGATATTCTGCAGTGGCATTTTTCTTTCGTTAAGTTCTTGTTCAGAACTCTATACAAGCATCTCTATAGAGTTTTCAAAAATAATTCGTAAGTCTCCATTGTGCTTTTGGCTACATGCCTCACAAAAAAATATTCAGTACCTTCGACAACAGCTTTCGGAGAAATGTACATATCTTTCTCAGGATTGTATTGCGCTCGTCCTAGCATTTTTAAAAACTCATGCCGTTGGCGTAAGCGAAATTCACGTGATTTTAATACCTCTGGAAACTGTATCAGCATGTCGTGTGATAATCCCATATGATCATGAGCGTAGGCAAATCGTTCAATTAAGCGATCATGTGCTTCAATAAATTCAGTAATTGTTATTGCAAAAAAAATTAAAAAACAACTAACTTACCTGACAACCACAATGACGGTTTTTTCAACAATAAGTACTTTGTTTCATCCGCATCAAAACCCATTTCCTCACGTATGCAAAATGTCAGTTTCCGTAAATGTTCCATATTGTAAGTAATAAGTTTAGGTTGTATTGTAGCCAAAAATCGCACATCGTCACCTTTGAGCCGAAATTCTTGTTGAAAGTATCCTAAACGCCGATCAATGCGACTTGTACTAAACATCAGCCAGTATGGATTTAATGTGAATATACGTTTTCTTTGTGCTGGAGTAAAGTTTTTACTTTCCAGGTAATTTACGCGAGTGGTAAGATCATCTATGCTTTCTTTAAAAAGTAGAGGATTTTTAGTAATTAGCTCGCCATAAACTTCCGCAGGAACACCTTGATCTTTGAGAAAAATTAAATAGGGCTTAACATGTTCATCAAAATTTAAGCGCAGCACAAATTCCGCAAGACCTTTCCGCCTTTCAATTTTGTGAAGATTAACTCCTAGTTTAATAAATTCCTGAAGTGTTGTTGATTTATTTACATATGCAGCTAAATTAAATGTTGGTACAATTTTGTTTTCATCTTTAAACGGTTTTAAGCTTGATTCCGTATTATGTTTTTTCTGCTCAGTTTTTCGATTTTCTCCATAATTACTAATTATATTTTTATCAGCAAAATCATGCGGTTCAAGCTGCCGGTCAAGTGCATCGAATGTTTGGCGCTGATTTGGTTCTACGTTGGCAGGTAATGCTGTTGATTGTCTGGGTAGTCCACGTAAATTTCGTACAATAAATACATTATTTCTATTTATACAATTTTCAATTACTCTTGCGAAAATTGGTATATTTCGTAATATCATAGTAGCAATACACTAATGCATGTAAGTAGTCAGCTGTTTTGTCTTACATTTACCTACCACATGCGCAAAACAGTGTTGCCGTGTTGATAACTGTTTAATATACTAAATAAAAAATTGTACCAGTCGTATTCTGGTACAATAATACTCTATCAGTTATCAGTTTCATATTTTTTCAACTAAAATATCAAAAAAATTCTTACCAGATGTCAACAGTGAACCCAATATATTCCAAACTTAAGTAATAACCAAGCTGTAATTTTTGCACGCTCACGTTTGCGTGTAGTTTAACACATATTATATAGTTATAATACAATCGTGTGAGATATTATTAAAACGCATGTGTTTTGTACAAACTAAATAGATAATATCGAAATTATTGCGTACTTATAATAGAGGTCTGTTCCACGAGTAACTTTGAGTAACACTGTGTATACATAAGTGCGTTCCACCAGTAAATGAGAGCATCTGAGAGAGCGATGTTAATCCCTGTCGAAATTTGAAAATGCTACACAGACTTATCTAGTACTTTTTATTTCAAGTAAAATTTGTGTGATGTGTGAATCACCTGTTTTGATTTGAATTTAAGATTTTTTATTGTTTATTTGCGCGGAACTGGTGTTGTCATCAGACTTTACATAAAGCTGTACCATGAAAATCTGTTTAAAGAGTATAATTTGGCACTTTGTTTGTGTTACGCTCTCAGTTTGTACTTTACTTGATTTTTACTACGAGTAGCTTATGGAACAGATCTATTATATGAATTAGTAAAATGTTTGTAAATGTTTAATGAAACAAAACATAATGAAGTAGAATTTATATATTTGCTAAATACAAACTTCATGAAATATCTAAAGTTGTTATAACGTTAAGTAAACCGATAACGATGTTATTTAAGATTTCGATAGATGCTGCATTTATCACAAAGCAGAACATGTAACCAATTAAGCTACGGCAATTGAAATAATATTTTTAATTTTTGTATTAAAAAATGCTGATATAATATTTAAATTATATAATTTAGAAAATTATATTGAGTATGTATATGTGAAAGATTTTTTATTAAGCTTTAATTCTAATGCACTCATTTATTTGAAATAATGCAACCCTGCACGTGCTATTTATATTCACCACAAATAATCACCACACTGTTGCTCCTTGTTTACAGTTTTGTTCGGTATTTGTCATTTCATGTGTGAATTGCATTAATTTGTTTTTCTATTGTAAATTTATGTTTGTAATAAACTATTTACGTTAGCTAATTTAATTCTTTCGACAGTTTAAAAGAAAAATACTAATATTTTATTATGGATAAATTGCGTCGTGCTCTGAGTGGTGATGATGGCACACCTGAGGAAGAAAGCAGCATCATATCACAGGTTGAAACCAAAATTATCAGAATCCTTATGTTTGATTTGTTTTTTTGTTCATATAAAAAGCATTTATTTAATAATTATATAATTAATTATTAATTATGATTAATTTTATAATAAATAAACACTTTGTTTTGAAAGGGGCGGAATAGACAGCAGCTGCCACTGAACATTTTTTTAGAATGTTTAGTTGTTTAATTTGAACTACTAAACATGTTCAAGTCTTTAAGTAAAAAAAGCTATATTTTATGTCTTTTCTAATTACTAAATATTGTAGCTGTATATTCTAATATAACACTTCAGTTCTCTAATTTGTGTTGTGCAAGATTCTGTTTTTAAAAGTTTATTACTCTTTATTAAACAATACATAATTTTTTTAATAAATGAAGGTCTTCTTTAATTTAAAATTATCAAATGCAATTTAAATTATATAGCTGTGTATTTTCAGATAAATGAAATGTCTACGCTGAGTTGGTCGACACGAATCAAAGGTTTTTGCATATGCTTTATCGTTGGTATTTTGCTATCATTTCTTGGTTCATTGGCTTTATTTTTGCATCGAGGTATTGTCGTTTTTGCGGTTTTCTATACATTAGGAAACGTGATATCAATGGCTAGGTATATAAATTGATTATTGCTTTATGTTCTTATTTTTTTTATGATTTATTTATATTGCTTATTTTTGTAGTACATGCTTCCTAATGGGCCCAGTAAATCAGATTAAGAAAATGTTTTCATCAACACGTTTAATAGCAACATCAATTGTCATATTTTCCATTATTATGACCTTCATTGCAGCCGTTGTGGTATTTTTTATTTTATATACATCCATTTTATAATTTTTTAAAAATGTACTTTTTTCTTGTAGTTACATAAAGCTGGGTTAACATTAATTTTCATTATTATACAATCACTCGCCATGACTTGGTATTCCCTATCGTATATACCGTATGCACGCGACGCAGTTAAAAAAACTGTATCTGCCTGCCTTGATGTATAGTTATTTTATCATAAAAATAGTTTTTCTTATTGTTTATTTTTTTAGAGCAGAAAATCTTTACATTATTCACTCAGTATATAAACGCAAGCACTTTATTGTATTAATAGAAATTATATTAAATTCTTTGGATAAATACTTAAGCTTTTTCTAAATCAAATTAATCACTGATGCATGTTTCGAAAGACAAATAATTCCAAATTATATTTGAAGATTATACATATGTGATAAACTAATTACTTATATTTTAAAACTAAATATTTCTTTATTTAAATCTTCAAAAATAAAAAATTAAGTTAGCATTCTTTATTTAAAGTACTGCACAACAATCAAATATCTAATATGTACAAAACAAATTAATCTTTTTTGCATGTGTAAATTAAAAATATTTTGTTTAATTGAAAAAATGAAACTAATATATTTACTTAAATTTTACAAATATAGATTTATAGTTTTCTTTTTATTATATTATTTAATTATTTTATTAATCTCCTGCAAGTCTAAATTCTATAGACTCCACTTAATCGTTCATTCATTATTAATGTTCTCCTTCGTTTTTATTGGATAATAATTAAAATTCGGGAATTAAATTCTTTTATTTTTATGTATTAATTGTTTTCAATTTTTAGTTTAAATTTATTTGTTTGTGTAATTTATATGTTGAAGTGATTATCAATCCTTTTTTTTGGAAATCTTGATATGACAATTTCATTAAACAAAGAATGGTAGTAAGAGAACAGATGTCTTTCGATGTAATATATATATTATATACATATTATATAGTTTGTAATCAATGCATTATTTTTATACACTATTTTACACAATATTATAATAAAAGCTTATTGTTATTAAAAACCATTTATTATATACATATATATATGTATTTTGTAATAATTTATTTGGATATTAATATAAATAAAAATGAAATTATTTAAACTAAAATTTGTTTCAATACCTTATTTTATTTATTACAATAATTCAATGAAACAAGAAAAATAATTTTAAATTAAAAATTGATTTTATCAACTATTAGTTTATTTAACATTTATTCAATATAACAAAAATAATAATATTTAAATTAAAAATAAAACAATTTTTAAATGTAAACATTTCATAATATATGAAAAATTACACATTTATAAATAAATATGCTTGAATAAGAAATGAATTTTTACATAATTTTCAATAAATTTTAATTTTAGTACATATAAACTTTTTATAAAAGTTATTTATATACAACCAATAAAATAAATTTCATTTATAAATAATTTTTAGTTTAAACTTCAAAAATCTCTATAAAAGCGTATTTCTTCAAAGATATAAATAGTTTATGTTTTATATCCTAGCTAAATTTTTTACATAAAATTGCTTAATTCTCTTACGTATAAATTTTCTTAAAAATTACTTTAAATGCGTAATTATTAAGTTCAATTTATCTAAATACTTTATTTTATTATTTAAAATAAAAAAATCGAAATATTTAGTATAGAACGAACGATTTAACTTAAGCCGTTGGACTTTAAACTGTTCACATTTGTCTTTTTTTTTGTTATTAAACTTATTAAAAGTTTTAAGTTAAATTTATTCAGTACGTGTGGTTATCGCTTTATAGTTTCGATTAAATTTCTACTTAATTTAGGTTTAATCAATCTTCTTCACGTCATGTTTTGGAGATTTTTTTGGTGAAATTTTTCCTAAAAGAGATAAAAAGTAAACAAAATAAAAATCATAATACTTTCGAAAATAATATGAAGAAAATTTCAAAATAAATATAATTAAATATTAAAATAATAAATCTTTATTTATATGGAAATTGCAAAAATTTTTGAGTTTTGAAAAAACACATTCTCGTAAATATCTTATATTACGTGTAACTTAACAGTTATTTAATAACTTAAATACAATAGAATATACTTGAACCGAAGATATATCAATAATGTTAGCACAATAGACTATATGGTCCTTCAAGCAGTATTAAAAAGTTAATCTGACAAATTAAAGCTTTAATCCGAGTGTAAGCCATTCTTATTTTATCTAAGACGAAAGATCAGCCATGGTCGCAGTGTGTGAAAAATAATACTACACAAAACTCCGGTTTAGCGTCAGTCTCTGCTAACAGTTTTTTAACGACTATAACATATAGTGAATGAGTACAAATTATAGAGAGAGAGAGAGACAGACAACAACGATAAGAAACATTTCTCTTTAGTATTCACACAGTGATCCACTTTGCTAAGAACCAGTGTCCTATTCTATTCTAAGAAAATAGTAAAAAAAAAAACAAAACTAATGATGGATTTATATAGGTTTGAAGTGAACTTTTTAAAATATGACGAGATCTTATAATTATAATATATATCGGATAAATTTTTATAACTTCAATATTGTTAATTATTAATGCTATATTTATTATTTGGAAAATATGACTAAACATAGAGACCAATTTTGCTTGATATACCCCATTTAAATTTTAAATATATAGTAAAATACTGCAATCACTTTATACGCTTCTATTATACAATCAGCTTTTGAAGAAATGAAAAACAATCGATCAAATATATAAAATAAATAAAAATGTATAATATTTGGTAAGACATGCCACAGAGTTTCTTTTTCAAGGCAATCACCACTTTAAGTAACTTAAATAGTTTAGATCATTTAAACAATAGTATTATTTTACCAATACTAGTCGACAAATGAACTCACTATAAAAAACTTGACATAGATCTTTCTTTTCAAAATAAAGCACTTACATCTAAAGTTTTCATTATTAGATGAAGGGAAAATAACGAGAACAACATCAACTAACTATATTACTGAAAGTTGATATAGAAAAATAGTCTCACTCTGTGATAACGGTTACATATGATTATATGAAACATATTACCTTTGTTGGGTAGGTTTCGATTCGTTAGAATTACTTTACAATATTGAAGACGTCTGTTACGACATTCACAATTTTTACTTTTTTCTTTTTTTCGGTACCCTGAATATTAGGATTATGGACACTGGAAAATGAAATTATTTTATAATTAATGGTATTATGGAAAATTTATTTATATCATATTAGGTGTATTAGGTGTAAGATTGACATATTTGATTGGTTGTTGTTTGTATTAATAGCCAAGTACCAACTACGACCAAGTACCGTTCGATACATCCTAAAAGGTGTGTACAAGCAGATCTCAGCGGATTACAACAACAACAACATTTATGGTTTTGGAAACAAAGAATAGGTATTTCAGGAGGTTTCAAGTTTTATTAATATATATTATATATTAATATAAAGGTTTTCGAGTTAGGTGAGATTAAAGTGATATCTTGGAAGATGTTGCATTGGTAACCACTTGATTGTATTTGAGAACTTAATATCTAAGTTCACTAACTACATGGCGAGAAGTTTCTAATTTTTGTTTCCAGAAGGTAGACAAAATAAGTAAAGTTGAGTTGTTTGTCAGATATGATTTAAATGTTTCAATCCCTTATCGTGTATGTATATAGGTTAACTCTTGATATGGATATCTTTATGTATATCTATCGACCTGATGTACTATTCTTTTAAACGTTAAGAAATGACATGATTGAAGGTGCTTGAAAATAGTTTAAGGAGCCTTGCCATCAGCAACGCAGCTGTAAAACAAGGCCGATCCTTCTATTTGATAAATAATTTATTTTATGAGTTAATTAAGAGAAAAATTAGAAAACTAGGTTAATTTTGCCCCAGATTCACCAATCGAAAATGAAAATTGCATTAAAAGTGATTTAAAAGAACATCTCGATTGAAAAAATTACTCCAGGTTAAAAATCGCAAACGCCATATATATAACATAATTGAATTGATGAGAAAATTTTTGGAAGTAGATTTGCAATTTCTATATAGTGTCAAAATAGAAAGAAAAATTATACATTAAATATAACTAAATATTTAAAAAAACAAAATATTTAATAATATAATTAAATTTTATACTCTTATAAGTAGATTAGTTCAAAGTTCAGTGAATTAAAAATAATAAAATACAAGAAAATTATTGCGTTATTATAAGCCAATTAAATATATAAATCATATGGTATGTAATAAATTAGCAGTTAGATAATAATAATATAATATAATAATATATAAATTACATATAAAAGCATACAACCTTTTTCCAATTTTTTAATTAAATATGTGGTTAAAAATATAAAAAACCGTGATAAATATAATGAATTATATTTAAGTAAAAATAAAAGTAATAACATAAATGAAAGGTTGTGAAGTTTGTGCAAAAAATAAACTTATTATTTTTTAATAGTATAGGAGTTATACAATTTCATTAAAAGTTGACAGCGTTTTAAAAGCATCTGAGTAGTTATTTAATCTATAATTTAATCATAATAACTTATTATTGTCTATAAAAAATATATACTTTTCTTAGTGAAATCTTAAATGAAAATTATTTTATTTTTTTAAGTACAATTTCGAAGGTTTATACTATTTTTATTTTTATATCGTAAGGAGTATTTTCGATATGAACATCTTTTTTAATAGTTTTATTAAGTTTTCCTTGCGCGTGTGCTATGATTTTCGGATGCACATAATAGATAGGTCCTGGTTTAAGCATAACAGAAAACAAAAAATTTATATATTTATGTTAAATAATTTATAGATTAGGTGCTTGAAATGATACTATGCACATTAAAAACAGAAGCATTGTAAAAAAATATAAAGTATAGTTCTTACATTACTAATAGATAAAGAGAACTTTAGGGAACCTATTAATTTTTCCGTAAAAAACTGAAATTAAATAAAAACTAATATAACTGCTCTAATTTTCTAGTATTAAACACCAATTAGAGAAATATAACAAAAAATTAGAACCGAGAACATATTCAAAACAGGTCTCACCTTTTAGTTGCCCTGATCCTTTTACTTCTATGTTTTCTTGTTCCTTAACTGGTGAGTTAGAATGTGATGCACTCATCTTACGTTTTTCTTGCATGCGCTAAAAAAAATATATAGTAAAGTTAAAGCATTAAAAAAATTATAAAAAAAAGCACTTATCGCTATACATACCTGCCATAACACGCAACCATAAACAAATGCCACAGATATAACAACTTGTATTGTAAGCCAAAGGACTATGTTAACAGCTTGCGTGCGTTCGAATAATTCTTTGCCGTTTTTAATGCAAAGTATTGCTTCGGAAACCATAATGGCACCATAAACCCAACATTGTGTACCAACGCGCTTACACCTTGAATCTGTAACGTATGTGTAATATTGCCTGCATATAAAGAAAATAATTAATATATAAATAAGTAATTGCTAAGATACAAATATGACTAACACTGACTCACCTTACTGATGGTGCGACAAACAAACCAATAAATATTAAGCGGACAATAACGATATAATGATCTGGTGGCATTTCAAATATGTGTTTCAAAAAAAATGTGTTTAATTCAGTGACCTAAAATAATAATTCAAAATTAATAAAAAATAAATAAATACTATTTAGTGAATAAAACACATACAAACATATTTATAGTTTTATTTTAATATGTTTGTTCTACACACCTGCCAAAAGATGACTAACTGGCAAACTGCGGCAAATCGCATAGCTGTTGAATGTGGGTCCAACCAACGAATTGATGTCCAACTTTCTGGTGTGAACTGTAAAACTGCTCGTTTTATCTTGCCACTTGTCGATGATATGTCCTTGATGCTTGCCCATTTATATTCTCGCATTTCAAGCATTTTGCATATCTTCAAGCCGACCCATATACCAAAGCCATTGCAAAGCAACACATCCAGAATCAATGCATCCCACCAGCATTCAACAAAGTTGGGCAATAAATGTGCAAAGGCAATTTCTGTTATTTCCCACATTACTGATATGGCCCACAATACGCCCATGTGACGTATAAGTACTGCTTTGAATGCCCAACCCAAAAAATGACCCCAAGCGAAAACATCTAAATGACCTTTTATTCGTTCAAATGAAATATCCGAGCAATTAACGCCATATTCCTTTAAATAATTTTATACAGAATTAATTAAGTACTTATCTCATACAATTTAATTTTTTTTTTTGCGTACCTTATCCATATTTATGTGGAAATCTTTTAATTTAGGATCCAACCAGTAGAAAATATTCATTATAGTTTTGTGGTTTTGGAACATAAAAAACTGCAACGCCAATAAATAAAGTACAGAACAACCAAATAGTATTCGCCATACGGCAGGATGCGGTCGCGTAAATGGACCATTAGGAAACGCCAGAACCGAAATAATTAAAAAGAAGAACACAACGCATAGCATGCCCGCCCATATATTATCCTCGAAATTTCCTTCGTCCCTGCAAATAAGAAATATTAAATGTAATTTTATTATTGTATACATTATACATTATATACATTATTATTTAAGAATATTAGTTATGTAAAATAAGCATAATACACATATATATAAATTTAGTGTCTATCTTTATTGATTAAAGAAAGAAGCCCTCTTAACATGTCACACATTTTTTAGAAAACATTTATCTTTATTAGATCTCACGATGATATAATTTAGCAATAAAGCTTATAATGTTCAAATTTTCCATAAACAATAATTCTTATTAAATACTCCTCCGATCAAAAGAATATATTAAAATCGTCGAAAGAAAATAAAATTCCGTGATTAAAGATGAGAATATTTTATTAAAATAACAAAGATTTTGGTGGTGTTTTTTTTTTGCTTAAGGACTCAATGGCTATAATATAGCAGGCAAAAACTACAGTTGAATATAATATCTATGAACAATTCTTCGGTTCAGAATAAATATCAATTATTTTAGTACAGTTAAACACATTCCTACTTCATAATAATAGCGCGATTTAGAAAAACATATTATCACTGGAGTCGTACGGTAAAACTGCATAATAAACTTTTTAATGCTTTCTTCATAGAAATAGACAGACACTTCATACTATGGGAAGAGTGCAGGAAGAGTTCGGCGAGATAGGCACTTTAAATGAATAAATTTTGGAAACGATGTGTGATTAAGGTATTAAAAACTATTTTAGTAGTAGCCTCTGAGATATATAACGTCATATGAAACACTAATATAGCGTTATAAATCTTGGAAACGCTGTGTGATTAAGGTATTAAAAACTATTTTAGTAGTAGCCTCTGAGATATAGGCATAATGCCAGTACTTATATGAGATGTGATTAAAAATAAGAATTTTTAGTTTTTGTAAGTTTATAAAATTTATTTAAAGTAGTCCTTGTATGTTTGATATTGAGCTATAGTATTTTTCAGTTTTAACTGTGCTCTTAAGCTCGTTTTGCGATTTCGACTTTTTACCCATTTGTTGTTGAGACATATGTCATATGAATGAGACAGAAAAAGCTTGTAAAGGTCCAGGTCTAGAGAATAGCATACAGTTGTGGCATAAATTTATTTCTGTGATGTTGTGATATTCAACACTTACATTTATAGCAGTGCAATCAATACACAAAAAATGATTTGATTTGCGAAAATAAACGTACCTTTTTGGACATAGCTTAATGTATTTTAACAAATAATTGTTTTTTTTAACTTTGTTCTGTACCATAATCTGTATCATAATCTGTACCATAACGTAGAAGTACTGCAGAAAACAAGAAAGATTAACCAAAAACAAGGAGATATCCTTAAATTGTAATATCAGTACTCAATGTTCTTTATTAAATGTTCTCGGATTAAATCATTTTTTATCTGAAGATAAAAAAATTTATTATGGAAGTTCATAAATAATTATATACTACTATCCAGATTTGTTTTAATTGTACAAAGTATTCGGAAGTAATTTTAGGTAGGTTGGTTCCTCATAATGGTAGTTTTGGCTTCGATAACGAAAAAAATCACGTGATTTCCACAATCAAGGTTAATAGTTGATGACATGATATTTGTACTGGAATGTTACAGTTAAACCAAAGTTCAACATTTTTAAGGGAAATAAAAGAAATGAGGTAAAAAAATTATTTTGGCACTAACTTTTATGGTACCAATAGTTTTCATTCAATTGCACAAAATATCAAGGTACAAGTATTAGGCCCAGGACGGGCATAATAAGCTGACGATTCGACTCATATTCTCGTTTGATATTAGTAAATTCTCAGTTCGAATTTGTTATAAATGCAAAACATCTATCAAAAGGAATGTAGGCTGGTTCCGCTCTCAGATTATATAAATCTGATAGGATATTTTATGATTGCATCAATATTACAGATAGAACCTTTCAGTATCATGCATCTCATTTAACATTAAAATAAGAAAGAGGCTCATCGTGCTTTAGGATACGCATGTTGTTTTGACCATTTTTTATACAATAGAATCTCTCACGGATCTGACGTTTATTTCGTTTTGCTACTGACCCCCTGAAATATTGTATAATACATTATATAAATAACAAACTATTGAAGTGAAATTTAATTATTTATATTAGATGAGCTTTGCCAACTTTGTAAGTAAAGTAGATTTCATATAGCTCTTAGAAAATGAATATTGTAATTTGAGTAAGAGCAAATAAATTGCCAATAAGTGTATTGAATTAATTAAATCACAATATTTCATGACTAAAATACAAAACAAAATTGAATTGCCTATCGAATAAAAACAACATAATCAATTTGCTTTCTAATTAAATAAAGCATTTAGTTTAGTTCTCACGGGACGCACTAAACGTTAGCAAACAAGTCATACGATGATAACATACAATATGGAAGAGAAATGGAAATGGTGAATAATAGGCGAAGAAGCGTGTGCAAAGTCTATTTTTGTGTTGTTTTTAGCTCCGTATAAGTAACTAAGACAGTCTAGTTGCTATCAGTATGACGAAATAACTTGTTATCAGCAAAATAAAAATAAATATTTCTATTGTGATTTTAATAATTTTGCGAGACTTAAGTGTTCTTTGTTGTGAGGGTAGAATTTCACAAAGCGGATCTATTACATCTTCTCGGGGGTATGAGCTGTCATAATCGTACGATATTAAACATTTCTTTTGTTGATAAGAAAGTCCGGTACAACGTAGTAACTAAGAAATGTTGAGTAATTTATAGATCCGGCGCAATTCGCATTACATTTTTTATACATATTTTTTTTATTTTCTATTAATATCAATTAAATAAAATACCAAACTAAAAAGATTAATTTATCTACAGATTATATATGTCATTAGAGCTTTCGAAAGAAAAATGCTGAGAAGGTTTTATCGACCCATCCGTCGCAGCGCTTAAGATGGATCGGGCACGTCATGAAAATACCAGAAGATAGATCACAAAAGGGAATACAGCAGCAGAGGTAGACAACGTATTAGATAGCTCGACAACCTGATTGACATCAGAAAAAAGGGATATCCAGAATTTGAGTTCTAAAATAACATGCAAAGTAGAATGGAGGAAGCTGGTTGATGCAGCTAAAGCTCGTTCGTTTAATAACACGATACCATTATTGTGCAGACAGTGTGGTAACTATAAATTTTTTTATTACAGTCCAAAATTTATAAATCTTGGATTATCAAATCCTTCAAACTGAAATTGTTTCATGTCTAAATTATCTAAGATAACTAAAGATAAATAACTTTCTTTTGAATTCATTCATCAACAAATTGTTTTTTATACTGCACTCTACGATTGTCTATAAATGAGACTAGTTCTTTTATATAAATTCAACAAACTGAAAACTTTACCTGAAACATATTTTTAACAAATTTTTAAATGAAATTGAAAAATCTTTTTTAGTGATCGTATAAAACGCGGAATAAGTATATTTAATAACAATAACTACACCGAACAATAAGAATAATTTATACAGTAAAGAAATTTTAAATAGCCAAAAAAACTGCTGCTTCAACTTAAATGTTTTAGTTTTCGAAATGAATCCTAGAAGATAGTGTCAGGTCACGAAACATCATAGTCTCATAATCTTCATCTTCATTTCTCACAATTTCTGGACAACAACAGACAACAGACGTGTATGTATATACACGAGACATGAATGACATGCTAGATGTATGAAGATAACTATGGTGTCCATGTGGTGCCCTGTGATGATTCCGACCTGTACCCTAAAGTAATTTTTTTTCAATTGAAAAATTATTAGTTTTCTTTTTTAAAATGACTTTCGTTATCTTAGAAATTTCTATTCCAGATTACGTTTTTTTATGGACAGAGCCCACTAAGTTTTCTATCTAGCGAAGGAATTCTGCAGAGCTAACGCCGAGAATGTGATACTGGACCTAATTTTCATATTTGTTAACCTTCGTCATATGTTCACTAAAACCTCACATTGAACTTGATGGGTTAACAAGTGCAGTTTGACTGTTACTGTAGATGCCGATGAATCATTCGTGTTATTTCTTCTCGAAAATGGAGTCAAGCAAGCTGTCTAAAATATAGCATAAATTTGTGCTAAAAAGAGTTTCGTCATATTTCCAGTGGAAAAAGATCTAGAATCAATCTAATATCAAATCTAGTATCAGTGGTAGTTTTAAATTCGACAATAATAACACGATACTCGTAATGAAGACATCAATTCTAGTACCAGTGGTGGTTTTAAGTTAGACAATATTAACATACGTGGGATATTCGTAATGAAGACTCCAATGTTAAATTAATAGACCCTTTTATTTAACATTAAATCAGGTGTATAGAGTACACTCTGACGTTTCTTTTTTTCATTCTTCAATAAACTTTTTGTGCAATTATATAAGACTTGAACTTCAGCTAAAATGAAGAAATCTTAACATATCAATCAAATTAGTTGTCTAAAATTTTTTTAACGATATTAGCGCTATATGAAACTAATAAGGAACAAAATTAAAATTAAATAAATATACTAATAAGTTGAGATGTTTTGGAAAGCTTTAGAATTTAGATTACAGTCAGCATATGTCAAAAAATTCGATAGCGGTACACATTTGTTTGATAAGACTAAAAAAAAAGAAATCAACTAGAATTTCACATATATTAGAAGGTTCTCGCAAGACTGTGATATTGATATTAGTTAATATTAATTAACCCTTTAGAGCAGGTAAAACTTATTAAAAGCACCATGTGTTGTTGTTGCTATAGCCTATGGAGATCTATGTAGCAGATAACATGAAAGGAATTAGATAGACGAATAACATACATGGGTAAGGATCTTGTTGGATATAATTGTTTTTGGTCGTCGTAAGTGACGAGTGGCTCCATTTTAATTGGTTTGATGTTAATGCTTTTTTAAATTGACGTAAAATAGAATTTGCAAATTAGGTAATAAATTATGAAATTTCAAATACATGCAGTGTTACTATAGATAAAAGTTTTTCGAATTAGAAAAAGAACTAAATAAACTCAACATTATCAGTTATGAGCACATACTAACGCTTTCTATTTAAATACTTTATATTATCAATAAGCTCAAAATTACAATTAGTTTTTGGAACTCTGATAAAGATTAACTATTGGGTGCTCTGTAAGCACATCAGAAATACTTCCAGTCAATATAAGAAAAAGTATTTAAAGAAATATATTTGTTAATATACTTTAATTTTAATGGAAAAAAAATCAATAATGAAAGGAACAAAATCAGAGAACGTAACACCATAGATAATACCTATCTTTTATGATGGTTACAAAGTTCTAAAGTTCACAAACTGCAAATAGTCTATTCATACAATCACGTTTAACGAGAACGAATAACTGATATTCTTAATAATAGAATATATAATTACTTAATAACGGTATAATAATATTAATAGAATGTATATTTGATATATAATTGATTGTAAATTCATTTAAAATATAAAACTTAAATCGAAAGACATAACAAATTTATTGGGAATTTTATTATATAAAATTATTCATTAAATTTAAAATACTCAATTTAAGTTATAAACCTATTACTTAAATATTTTAAACTAAAGCGTAATTTTATTAAAATAAAATTGTTTTAATAAATATTAGAATTATATTAAGCTAAAAATTAAATTTTTTTATATACGTTCCGTGGACTTAAGAATTTACTTTTTATTTGGACAATAGTTGCGAGGGCATTTCTAGTTCTATTTTTCTGCATCCGTACATGTTATACAATTTTATTGCCAACTATACAATTATTTATAATAATAGAATTCAAGGCATACACTAACAGAAATCAACACCAGCCCACACACACATTATAATCTAATTGTTCGGTGTGAAGAGGTTAGTAACCTGAGGCTGCCAAAAATATCGCGTGATATACACGACAATCATCAGTAGTAGCCTCGACTGATAAGATAAAGAAAAAAAAAATTATTTATTACAATAAAATGACATTCGATTTAAAAATGTAATGAGATTTCCGTGCTTCTTTAATTGGTTAATGAGGAAAGATAGCAAATAGTTTACATCGAATATGGAATCTAGACGCAACGCACGTGTCTAAATTTGGCGCTTTTTTTACGTTATGCAATTTGGAAATAAAAATCTAACAAGTTTTCTAAGACAAATGTTTTTCGGTCCAAAACAACTAATACGATAACTACATATATAATAATATATGCATTATATGGAATAATTACTCGGATATCTACCTTGTGGAAGTCTTCATGATAAATGTTTAATAAGGTGTTACAATGATAGTATTTTTAGCTGATAGATACTACTCCATTTTAATCACTAATTTTGTTTTTGAAAAAATATAAATGATATGCATTTTGTGATGGCTCTGTAAAGATTATAATTTTGTATTGCAATGTAAATAAGGAATGAATATAAAACGTCAGTGACTATTAAAAAGATAAGAATAAATCCAACAAATGGAAAAGACAGCAAAAACATTGATTTAAATAATTTTGATTAAATATGAATATTTTCCTGGCTAGAGTAACGCGTATTGCCAAGTATTAATCATCAGTGGTCGAATTTCTTAATTAGTTCTCATTTGATAGGCCTGGCACTTGCAGTCCAAACAAATTATATATGAACTTTAACTAATTAAGAAATTCGAATATTTCCTAAGACCACTGATGATAAGTACTCGGCAATGCTCGAAACAGCGTTGTATGGTCAGCCAAATTTCAATAAAATAAATAAATGGTATTTCTACCATTTAATAAGACTTTAAATTCTTCTTCGGACACAAGTGCTTTATAAAAAAAAGATGACTAGTTTTTTCAAAATCGGACATACTCCACTAATATGACATATATTTTCCATTTCATGACGATTACACAAAGAACAATCACGTTCAGATATATAATAATAGGTTAATCTGAAGCTTGTACAATTTTAAATGTTAATAACAATGAAACTTAATATGATTGTGTATAGAATGTAGTTAAGGAGAACAAAATATTATACATTTTATTTAACATAATAATAACTCGACCTAATGAAATAAAATAATATTTCAATTATATTAAAAAATCACATATTGTATATAACAATATATTACAATATTTAAATAATCTGCACAAGGACAACTGTTTCTTCTTAATTAAATTAGTTTTTCCAAATTTGTTATTTTATTTCAATGTCTCAAGACAATACTAGTTTCAATACAGAGCGAATCAATATAGTTGTTGTTGTTGTAACCCGCTGGGACCCATAAGCAGATAACATAAAAGGATATACGCGACTATTACACTGGTGGGGAAGTGAATGCGTAGTGGTTAGGCGTAGGGTAATGGTGATAAGGGGATTAGGTTGATGGGATTTAAATTGAACTTTAACCCGGGTCCAGATGGAGAAACCTGACTACTTCAATGAAGGGGAATAGTCGAAAGGTCGATTGAACGAAGTAAGTTAGGTCCAATCAAGATAGTTACATTATATTGGAGATTAAGGAGCCCAAGATTCAACTAGGATCGTTGCGCCATTAATGATTATTACATCGCTGATTATAAGCATTTACTTAGTTCTATTCGCCCATTGGGCTATTAATATATAATTAATGTGGAATTATAATATCAAAGAGATATCTTTCAACACTTAAGTATCGTTTGTGCAACAGATTTAAAACGGAATTTCCTGCAGTTGCATTATTGAGATTATTATTTTAAAGTTTAATATAACAAACCATGAGTTTTTAAAATAGAAAACTGTTATAGACATTAACGATAATTGCTAGCTATATAACACAAATGCAGATGACAGTTCTATAGTCCACGACACAAAAAAAATTAAAAATGCTTTTGTCAGTCTTCCTGTAATCAGCATCTGAAGCGAATTTCTTACTGGCTAAGTAAGTAAAAAGGACAAAAACTAATATAACTGCTAGATTTGCTAAATAATGATGAATAAACTTATGCAAGGAATACAAATAATACAGAAATTAAAGAGAACAGTAGGTACTTCAGTTCAGAGATTGATTACAAGGAAACGATATGTGTTAAATGGGGAATTGTTCTGCAAACAATTTTTTGCAAGGTAAGAAATAAATTAATTCTGTACGCCTATAATTCCCGAAGCCTTTTGAGTAGAAACAACATATTAAGGATTAAATAATATTAAATGAATACTGAATTAAATGAATACTAAAATATAGATTTTAAGGTATTTTTTTTTGATTTTAAGATATCATTTTTATGATTTTTACTGGAACTAAATTAATAATTAAATATAATAATATTTAATACAATACATATCCTATATGATTTTTTTGTTTCTTGATTCTAGTAAATATCTCTTGGATTTGTCATTTTGAGTGCAAATCGGTACTTTCTTTGTGTTTAAAAGTTAGAGAACATATCTTACTTATTAAAACCATTCTGGTAACTGATAATTTGTTGAAATTAACTAAATTCTTTCACTTTTTTGATTGAAGTAATAAATGACGTGATGTAAGGTCGTATCTCAAAGAACCTCTTGACCGACAGATAAAATTGCTGCTAATTTCGTTCTGTTAAATTGATTTAAGTTAATTTGAAGCAATTTTATAAAACACGTGGTGTAAAGAGGATAATTTTGAAATAAAAAAGTTAATTGTAATAAAAAAATATTAAATTAAATAAAAAAGAAAAAAACAACAGAAATATATTATAACATGGACTTTGGTGGCTTATCCATAAATTAATGGCCCACACGTTATGTACACGACACTACACTTTTTTGATTCTTTTAATTTCAGTTTCCTAATGGTTCCACACTTACGTATCCATTTTAGAAACTCCTTGAAAATGTTGATTGGCATGCCAATTATTTTAGAATTGTTATGCTTTTATATAAGATTTGAATACAGTGAAAAAATTGTCCATTTAGTCCATAAGAATATTATTATAAAAACTTATTTATTTTTAATTAACTATAATTTAGTGGAACGATTTGTAAAAATCGCGTATCAGAAACTAACACAATATTTGTCCGAAAGTGCTTCTGCAAACCAAAAAAAAAAGATGTTATGTGGCGCCTCCATAATACAGATTATCAAAATATGGGTATGAATGGCCATGCGCATTGCTCGAGCCCAATGCAGTTTTGTATTTTGTTTTGATTATACTTGTGTGGAACGGCAATCAAAGCGGATAGATAAAAACGTAAGACATGGCATGGATAGCATGTCATGATAGTGAGTTGTTTGCATCAGACAAACATTTTTACATATTTACACGATTTTGTATATACCCAAAGGAACCTCAAGAATATGTCTAAAAAATTAAGTTCATTTATGTTACTTATATCATAAACCTAACATAATGAATTATATCTTTAAGAAATGAAGCTCGGCGAATTTGTTGAGACTAAAAAAATCAATATCTATACCTTAAACTAGAGTCTATTTACCTTATAAAGGCGAAATACATGACAGCTAAAATTGAAACGGCTAATAATGTAATCGTATGTGGCTTGTAGAAGAAATCTAATGATATATCATCTACAGGACGTTCGTTTACGATAATAAAAGTTTCTGCCATTTTATCTAAGCTCATGTTTTTTGTCTGGGAGCGCGATTTGGTGGGAGTGGTTGGCGCACTTGCCGCACCAGATTTTATGTTTGTGGTTACACCCACATTTACACTTCTTTCATTATTCGGCGAATCTTCTTGTAAATCGCGATTACTTAAACGTTTTTTCATTTTAATAGAAAAGAATTATTAATTAAAATTATAACCGCAACACGTTGGACGTAAGTAACAGTATCAACACAGCATGGACAGTGGAGTTGCGCAACACCACTTTTATTAAACAACTACTTTCGGAAAAGTTGTAAATATTTGTATGAAGAACCTTTGTTCTGTATTAATTTCTTTTTATTGAATTTAACAATTTCTTAACTATATTTCACTATTAATTTTCGTATTTAAAGTCTTCGCACGCACTCTCGCAAATCAATTCAACCTGCCACTTTAACGATTGCCGGGTAAGTGAAAGTGAGCTGCTGTTTTTGACAAACAATAACCAGTGTTGCAATTTATGCTAAATTAGTACTAAAAAATTGTTCTAAAAAATCAATGTTGTCATATGCTATGTTCACACAAGCCTTAAATTATATTTCCAATAAGTTTTATACCACATTCTCACTGCAACTAAATCAAGTTATATTAATCAAATTAAAATTTGGTCGTTCCAATTGGCATAAGTTGATTTATTCATGTGAAATAGCTTTTATGGCCGTGTGTGAGTTGAAGTAAATTGAGGTTAAGTAAATTGATATATCCTAGGAATTTTTTGCACTGCACTTATGTAGATATTTATTTATTGCACTTAACTATTATTTTTAAATTTATTTACTTTTTAAATTTATTTATTTATTTATTAAACATCTCATAAAATTTTTAAATTGATAACACCTAATGCACTTAATTTTTATCTAATTTACAGTACTCCATATTCCGATAAATATCAACATTCGCTGCTATACAGACATAATTTACTATTTCCCTCAATTTATCATCAATTTACTCGAACTCGCACACGGCCTATGTGTCAGAAAGTTCTGTGGAAGTTTTAGAAGAGCTTTTGTTTACATATTTACATTTCAATTGTTGACAGATGTTTTTAGCTTTGAATTGTTAGTAGAAATTAATTAAATTTCAATTATCATGGAAAGCGAAGAAAATGCAAACAATATAAGAAGAGCAATAGGAACATATAAAAAACGCTTTCTTTAACTTTATTAAGAAGACAAAAACATTTCTGGATTTTTATTAGTATGAGTGGTGAATATTATATTATAAAATGTAAAATTGAAAAAAGTTGCTATTTTGAACAAGATCAATTATTTTCTTTTATTCATCCTTTATTGTTAAGTATTAATTTGAAAAAAAGTAATTTTAATTCTGTCATTTCTGGACTTTTTTTGATGAATTTAAGAAATTAAAATTTTGATATAACAATGTAGTGCTTTTGCTTGTATTACAAGTTTTTATTCATTATATATTCCTATATATTTACTAGTAAGGCCGCGTGCGAGTTCGAGTAAATTGAGGGAAATAGTAAATTATTTCGGTATGCTGGCGAATGTTCGTATTTATCAGAATATCGAGTAGGGTAAATTAGATAAAAATTAGGTAAATTAGATACTACCATTGTGAAAATTTTAAAAGATGCTTAACAAATAAACAAATAAATTTAAAAACTTTTAACCAAAAATAATAAATAAGTGCAAACAATAAATAAATAAATATTTACATAAGTGCAGTGCAAAAAATGCAAAAATGCAAAAAATTTCTAGGAAATTTTAATTAACTTTACTTCAATTTACTCCAACTCGCACACGGGCTAATTTAAATAAAAACATCAATTTGCAATAAACGCTAATTTATGATTGCGTATAATGAAGTATAAACATGTTTAATGGAATTAAATTTCTGTTAGTAACAATGTTAACAGTTTTTTGTGCTTTTCCAACACTGTTAGCAATTTACCAGCAGTGATTTTTATTCCGATGTAGATTATTAAGGCCTTAGTGCATAATTTGATAAGATTATTATAAGAAATATATATATCCATAGAATTAGAATAAGAAATTGAGTATAATGAATAGTTTAAAAAATCTTATACTATCCTACGAAAAGTGGGTTGCGTCTAATCCCGACATAGTATGCGATTTGGAAACAACGTCGAAATGGGTGTCGTATTTTATTGCAGGTAAAAAATTATTAAGCAAATAATATTATTGAACATCTACGATTTTTTCTATATCGTAGGTCGCATTTCGGATTCGAATGTTGTGTCCGAGTTAATATACACTCTATCCAATATGTTAGTACTTTACAATGATCGCATTATTGCTCAGTCGCAGCCTCATGTCGAGCAAAACTCACCGAAAAGTAATAGCACTTGCTATCGGTTAAAGGTCATATTAACCACGTTAGAATATAGTGAAGTGTTTATTGAAATATCTGCGAAACGTATTTTTGGAAACAGGGGTAAATGGATATTTATTGCTTTAATTCAATTCGTAAAAGCTGCTGGACGTTTTTTTATACTGAAACATTCCACTGACAAAATAATAAGATCACCAGCGTTACCAAGTTTGAATAGACGTGTTATGAAAAAACAACAACAGCAGCTTAGAAGTAATGGCATAGCAAATGCGAATGGTAGTAAAAACCTTGTAGAGGAACATAGCATCACATTACAACTTAAGCGATCTGGACGCGTTATACGCAAAGTTGAAGGAGCTCCACCTTTGCAGTATAGAAGCTTAAGTGTGTTAAAAGAAGAAAAAGCACTGAATGAATGCCGCACAATTGATTTTAATACAGATAAATCGCAAGCGCTATTAAAAGCGGAGTATTTATATATAGCAAAACCACTAATACATCTAGCTGCTATCGGTGTGTTTGGTGAAAAGCGATGGAAGCAATACACAGTTTCATTATTATTAGACTTATTGAGTATACGACTCTATTATAAAAATCGTGAATTGATGAACAAGGAACAGAAACTGGAATTATCACGTAGAAGCGTTAACCTATTGTTATATCTTGCACGTTCACCCTTCTATGAACGATACACACAAAGGCGAATTGAACGTGTGCTAGATTTCGTAGCCAATAATATACCATTGGTGAGAATGATTGCGTCTCCTCTGAAGGAATATATCCCTCACTGGCAAGATACATACTTTTACCTGTGGTCAACGTAAATTATTATTATTACTCCTTATTTTTGATAATTATTTGCAGTTAGGTACTGGGTTAGGGATTGATTTAGTGTTTAAAATTTGATGTACGAATAAGAATAAAATAACGAGTGTTGATACGATTGGTGTAATATATCACTTTTCTAATAAATAAATACATTATGTAAACATATATAAATAAGACTTTTTTTCATTAACTTTTTAACATTATTGATTATTGGTCATCTTCATAATATCTATTCATATATTTTAATGAATTTTCATAATTTAGGGTACTCACAAATCGATTTCAAAATAGAGTTTGTTCTAAATCTCACATACTATAAATGTGCATCCGCAGAGATTGTTACTCCATCTATCTTATATAAGTTGATACAAAAAGTATTCCCCATTTATTTTCATTAAAAATGCGATGACATTTTGCAACTAGTGGAGCAAGATCGGCATGCAAGCTGTCGGAAGATGGCGGAGGCATTAAATATAAATCACTTCACATTTTAGAATAATTAAAAAAGTACAGACTGAAACGCAATGAAATGTTAAATTTTTGAAACAAATCGGTACGATCGATACAAAATGGGATTAAATACAATAATATCAAACGTAAGTGATTATGGTCTAAAGCTGGTGACCTCAAAGCTTAGATTGATTGTCGGCAAACACGGCTACGTTAGATATTTGGTGGAATTGGAAGCGAATTGTATATAACGACCTGCTTTAGCCTGGTGTAAAGGTTAATTCGGTCCTCTACTGCTCACAACTCGGCGGCTTGAATAAAATAATCAAGAAAATCCGATCAAAAAATTGCCCAACAGAAAATAGAATATGTTCCATCATAATGCCAGGCTACACACATCTTTGATTATTCTTGCGAGTGAAAGAAAATTCTCTCTTAAAAAAAGGTGTTTCATTCGGTACCCATCAAAAAAGGTGCTTAATTCGGTACCTGTTGGTGGAAAACATGGTAGAAAGTTCATTTGATCAACAACATGAAGATACTCGCTAATACCAACTAGCGACAGCAAGCCACTGATCGGGCTGGCTAGCGGAAGCTACTAGACGCAGTCAACGATAACTTACGTTTGGAATGGCCAACTAAATTAGTAAACAATTTTAAAAGATGCTATATTTAGTCCGCAATTTAATTTACAGTAAATAAGTATTATAGATTTTGGATGTGTTGACGCCATCTAAAATAAGGAGAGAAATTAATTCAAAAGTACAAAACTACAACCATATTATAGTCTCGCATACAACGCTAAATTATTGATGAAACGTCTAATTCGATTTTCTAGCAAAAGACGATTGTTTTTAATAATGTTTTTTAATAATTTAGAGATATCAGGGTCAGTAGCGAGGCGTCAGCTTTTTGGCAAGGTGTTCACAATTTGATCAAAAATGAGTTCCAATTATAACGTATTCCCCCTACTCCTGAGTTTTGTCCTTTCCACAAGAAAATAGCGTACAAGACCAACGAAACAATTTATTTAAATGTTCGCAGCCTGTGATCCACTGGTTTTTATGGTAAATAGCTGTAGGAAAACGGCGACTTATCTGGAGTTGGTCTATTCATTTTATGAATTAAAACCTTTTTTTCAGAAGATCGTTTAAAAAATGATATTTGAATCAAATCTTTAATCACACATTAATTCATTTCTAAATATTATTTTTCACTTCAAGTTTCTTTAATTTTTTTCTTTACTTTTACCATTTGCTAGTATAAAATTGCAATAATGACTTTGTTTTTGGTTTATTTCCAACTTTTACATAATAGTAAGAAACTCTCATGCATTCATTTACTCTTTTACTTTGTATTTACTATGAGCGGTTCAGTTTTTTTATTGAACCATATAAAACAGCAACCGTGACTTTGATTGTATTTGCACGCTTTGTATGAACTTGGGGTTTAATTTGGTCGACTGAACCTCTCGCCAAATGTAAAGTGATTTTCGCTCAGTCATTTCTTTTCTTTTTTGTATTTACTTTGCATAACATTGGAGGTTCACTTTTTTTATTGAACCGCTTGCACGCATTAATTTAAGAGTTATGATTATTTTACGTACATATTTTGCGGGGCTTGTTTTCTCTTTTATTTTTATATTTGTTTGTATGTTTTGTATTTATTCAATATTGAACATAGTCCCAATGTGAGTATTATTTAATTTGCATGCTTTGTAAGCAGCGCGGTGCAGTTTTTATTCTAAACCTTAGTATATGTTAAGAAGAAAGTGTTTTCTCCTTTATTAATTATAAGTAATGTTGGGTATAACTAACATATGTATGTGTGGTTTTGTTTATATTATACGTTTTGTGTTTATGTTAATATGTTTGGAAAAGCTATTATAAAAAATGTTAAATAGCAAAATAGCGAGATTATTTACTTAATAAAAAAAAGATTTAAAAAGGAAGCTTTGTTCAGTGAACACTCTGAACCATTCGACGCTTCGCTTCTGATCAGGGTCTAAGACAATTATTGATTCCATAATATTTTCAACAAATATTAACTTACAAAAAATATTTAATACAAAAATAAACATGTATTTCGACATATACCATATCATATAAAATTAATATTACATACTCTGTATTCAGAAGATGCTTCAACTTTTCATAACTTATTCTTCTTCTTTTAACCAATTTGCCTCACAAATTTTAATTATTCCAATCGAGTAACGCAAATATATCTCATTAAAAATTATTATTTTTCTAAAATGTTAACGTAATTTTAAAGTCTTATTTTTAATTATTGTTGTTTACTAATGAACTTACATTTACGGCATGAATTTAATACTTATTTGCTATTTCAATTTGTTTTTTTTTATTGTAATTTCTGCTGTCCTTCCAAATCGTTCTGATCATCTTCAATAGACGTACATTTCTTTTCTTGTAAAAAGATAAGAACTATTGCAATAAATAATTTAGTCTCAAAATAACACAATATTTTCATGTTTTTTAAAAAATTATATATTATATATATTTTCTTGTTACTATATACATACATTTAAATTATTGTTATTGTTTTACTGTAGATTAATCGGAGGTTTTTGTAATGAAAAGTTTTGAAATATTTATATTTAATGATATTTTTAACAAATTTAAAAAATGCTTCCAGCGAATTATAATTCTTAAATTATAAAACAATAACAGAAATAGGAAACTTAATCAAAAATGGAAATTTTTGTGTACCTATATGTTATGATCCTTTTAGATATACATTTTTTAGAAGTTTACGTAAGCTCTAGTAGTGTAAATGATTAAAATTTCAAGCTAAAACCAGGGCCCATGGCTAACTGCCGTTGATCTATACCTGCATTTAATACGAATCCAGTGTTCGATGCCGTTTTTTTATTACCAGTTATAATTCCCGACACCACTTTGCTACTACCAGTTGTAATAATATCGTCGCGCCCCAATTGCTTAAATTGTGAACCACCTGGTGGTGGTTTTGGGGATGAAGCAATAGCTTTACGTGATTCAAGCTCACTTTTGGCTGGCCATGTTGGAAACATTGAGGGGTCGATGGGCAAAGGTAGTTCCTTAAAGTATGGATGTTTTAAAGCTGCCTCAGCGTTCAGTCTTTGCTTAGGATCATATGTTAAGAGACCTTGTAGAAAAGAAATGCCAGCTTCGCTAGTTTTGTCAATGAAATGTTTGCGCAGATTGGACACTGGATAATCCGCAAATTGCGAATTTTGACTGAGTAAGTTTTTAACAAGAGGTAGATCTTTATAACCAGGCCAAATTTTTTCGTTTGGGGTACCAAGTAACTGCAATGATAAAAATAAAAAAAATTAGTATTTGAAGAAATATTATATTTACTTGTTTCTACCTTAAAGATTTTGTTAAGTTCTTCAGACTCGGTTTTTCCCGGAAAGAGTGGTGCCATTTGAAGAAATTCAGCAAAAATACATCCAACTGACCAAATATCAATAGGAGTAGAATATTCTGGGGAGCATAATAATAATTCAGGCGCTCGATACCACAATGTTACTACAAGTGACGTATACTTTTTAAGCGGTGAACCATATTCACGTGCCAAACCAAAATCTCCGACTTTTAAAATACCTTTATGAGAAAGTAATAAATTAGATGTTTTTAAATCACGATGAAGTATCCAATTATCATGTAGATGACCTACAGCATGAATAAGCTGTTGAGTAAGACATTTAACTTCACCTGGGAAAAATACTTGTTTTCTACTTTTCATTGTTTCCATTAAAGATTTCAAATCGTGCTCAACATAATCCATTACGATAAAAATTTTATCCATATTTGAGCCAACAACTATTTCGCGCACTGTTACAATATTCGGATGTTGTCCTTTGAGCAAAGTATTAATTTCACGCAGGGAAGTGATGGGAAAACCTTCTTTTTCTTTTTCCATCTTGAGTCGTTTTAAAGCAACGATTTCGTTTGTACGTTTATCTTTGGCTCGGTAGACAACACCATATGTTCCTTCCTCAATGCGATTCAAGCATTGAAATTCTTCAACGGAACGGCAGCCTTGTACACCAGGAAAATAATTTGGCAGTCGTACACCTTTATCGTCACAAATCGGCGAATCATTTTCATTTTCAATAGTAGATTGTTTCTTTTTTACTGCATTTTCTTCCTTTTCTCTTAACTCTGGTTTTTCCTGCATTAGTTTCATATCACGCTCCTCACTGCGAGAACGTGATCGTGATTTGTATGGCGACTGGCTACGTGAGCGCGAACGAGAACCTACAGATCGAGATCTCGATCTTGAAGACGGTGATGGAGAATGTGAAGAGTGACGAGATGATGATCGCGATCGATGATTAGAAGAATGTGCGGATTGAGGTGATTTGGATGGTGAACGCGAAGCAGAACAGGAACGTTCTGAATGTGTTGAAGTATCTGATTTATGCCTTTCTATAACGTCTTCTGTATGTTTTGTATGATCCTTTTTTCTCCGTTTGGTGCGTTTCGGTGATTTTGACAAATCACCTATTGACATAGGACTATCTGGTAAATCTACATCGTTTTCCGTACTATATTTATCATCAGTTTTGTATTCCTTCTTTGATTTCACATCTTTGTAGCTTTTTTCACTTTCCTCTTCTGAATCACTTTCGTTATCACTGTTACTATCACTCTCATCGTCATCTTCAGTTTCATCATCGTCATCATCGCTCTCACTGCTATCATCTTCATCCTCATTTTTAAATTCTTTAGATTTTTTTGACCGTTTTCGTTCGACAATCTCAATGTCGGCAGTTTTTCGTTTGACTACTTTCAATCCAGCAGTCACATTAGCTGCTACCGTTGTGGGGCTAAGCGCATCTTTACGTTCCTTTCTCATCTCTCTGCGTGCTTCTAATTCTTCTCGCGCAGCTTCTTTACGTTTCTCAATTTCCCGTTCAGCTGCCAAGAGTTTAGCTCTTCTTGCTAATAATTCTGGGTCTTCGGGCGTTTTATGTTTTTCCGCAGAACTATGCGAATGTTTTTTGTTGCGCTTTTTATGTTTATGCTTCTGATAATCTTCTTCATGTATTTCGGGACTGTCGATTACTTCAATTACACTTGATGACTTTTCCTTGATTCTGCGCGATTTTTTCTCCATTTTAAATGCATTTCTTTCACGATCTTCATAACTGCGTTCATTTTTATCATGTTCTGTTCGTTCATAGGTATCATCGATTTCACTGCCTCTCACATATTTATGACGTTTACTAAGTAAACGCGAACGCAAATCTTGTTCTAAACTTTCAGCATCATTTTGTTGATCATACTCATACTTTCTACGATCCCTTTGCATTTCCATGCCAATATCACTTTGCATATAGTCAACGTGTGTACTATGTTTATGATAGCGATTATTGTGATATTCGGCAGTACTGCTGCCTATATGATGATAGACTTGATTACGTTCATAGTAGTCCTGTCGCTGTCTTTGAAGATGCATTTGAGATTGATGATGGTACTGTGCATGCTGATAAGGGTTATGGTAACTATGGCTACCACTGCTACCCATCAAGTTGCTTCGACCATTACCATCACTATTTCTATCATAATGTTTCTGATAACGTCGTTCGGAATTTGACATCATTTCTCTAGTTTCTTCCCTTTCATAGGCTGCGTTACGTTGATAGTAACGCTCAATATCATTACGTTCTTCCCTTCGATGTTCTCTATAATCACCTCGATCTCTATCTCGTTCTTTATCTTTATGCTTGCGGTCTTTGGAATGTTTTTTATCTTTGCTTGATTTATCTTTCTTTTTCGTTCCACTAGGATCACGTGCGTGAGCAGATGCTTGAGGCGGCTTTATGTCTAATGAATCAGTGTCATGTTCATCATCATCGGCACTAAATTTTAAGTAAAAAAAAAAAAAGAGAAATAAAAAAAATGACATTTGCAATATAAAATATTATAAATTTTCTATAACTTGAATAATATATATAAATAAACCCATATTTTACTGAATCTAGAATTAATTTGTTTCCTGTTCCAGAGGTATGTGTACTTTATTTAATAACGTTTGCACAGCAATGGCCATATAATGTTATATACCTTTTATATATACTCTTTTGTATTTAAAATTGAACAATTTTATCGATGTTAATTTACTTTTTCACCTGGGATTTTCGGAATCATTTTAACTGTTGTAAAGAAAAAAAAGAAAAATTTATTTTAATTTATATCTAAACTTACGTTATATTGATATAACATATTAAAAGTATTTATTTTAACCAAAATATGCCTAAATATAATAAGAAAATTAATTAATCAATCAGCTCAAATTGGACAGTTTTTACTTATTTTATTATAGAATTGGTTCATATATGAAGATGAATGGATTAAGATTAAAAGTTGTACAAGTTGATGAAAGTTTATTGGGGATTTAATTGGTGTAGCCGCCAAATAAAGCATTTAGCTTTGGTATATTGGAATATTTAAATGTTTCATGTTTGTTTCAACATTAACACGATACGTTTACATATCTCAAAGAATCAATATTGTATCTTTGCGATAAAAAATTACCTTATTAATAAGTTAGGTTAATTTGGTTGGTCGCAAACCATGCATAGATATATTGGTTCTAGATAGATAGAGTTAAGCATATATACATAGGTTTGTTTAGCAATAAATTTGACAAAATTATGGAGCGCTTGAAGTTTTATTTATGAGACAGTACCAACAACCATTTTTTAAAGCGCTGTTTAGAACAGATCTTTATGGAATTTGAACCTAGATCTTGTGTAAAAAATTTATAAACATTATGAAATTTATTTTTAGTACATTGTTATATTACCAAATATAAAAACAAGGAAATTTAATTAAAAAATATATAGAAAGTAATATATGAAGATTATAGTCGTCCAATAATGATTTGATTAAGAATTTACCGACTATATAAAAATGAATTGTATAACCGCTACATTCAAACCAAATCAAAATTTCCACATATAACATTTATGTTCTACTAAATACAGTAAAGTTTTAGCAATATTAATTTATTATATTTCATATAAATATATAATATTTAGATAAAAAAACTTTTATTATTCAATTTGTAGTGACTTATGAAACTTTTGAAAGTTAATAGTAAGTTAAAAACTTAATTAAGTTGTTTTGGAAAAAATCAATTTATTGAGTTAGGAGAAGTTAACTAAGAAAAATTACTGAAGCAGGTACTTAATTTAGTTTTAGCAAGTTATATTTAGACTGAAAGTATTATGTTAGGCAGCTTAATAATCAATTGTCCATAAGATCTTATAGATTCTTTTATAGAATATTATTAGTATCTATAGAACGCTAGACATAATTATATGATTGGTATAAATGGGAATCCATGATGGTTAGCTTTTCTTTTATTAACATATACGTTAAAATCATATAAATATTGAAACTATAAAGTATCTTTCTATACACAACAAACAAGATTATATAGAATTTATATGCAATGCTGTAGATGTTATGACTCAAGCAATAGCGTTTTGGAAATTACATATTTTAATCGTTTAATAAAGCTTCAAGAATTTTGATTCCTGATTACGCTTATAAGAATATTTATTTAGAATGTTATAATGATTACCATTTAAGTATATCACAGTTGGTATAATTTTTATAGATATTTTCTATTTTAATATTTAAAGAAAATATTTTGATGATTTTGTGATAATTAAATTAAGTATAAGTGAAATTATTATACTATATTTACATTTACAATCATCGTATTCAAATTAATTTTCATAGTGTAAATGTACAAAGCTAACTATAATGAAGTCATATCAACCACAATTTATGGACCATGAAATATCTATAAGTTGATTCTACATCACGGAATAACTCATGGCACAAACATTTGCCACTCATCATTTCTAACTGACACAACAACAATAATATTTAATAACTTATAGTGAAAGATATCGGACATTTTAGATACAAAAATTAAACAACTGCACAATCTTTAAACAATGAATTTTGTTTAAAATAAAATAAGTAAATAAATAGAATTAGTAAATAAATAAAATTAGTAAAATAATAAAATTAGTAAATAATAAAATCAACTCCCAATGTTTTTGAATGAGTTACATTATTATTACTACAAACATTTTTACAATCTGAATTAGTTAATTATCTTCTGAAATAATATGGAGAATGAATTTTTAACAAATGATTTAAATGACTCTTTAATGCAAATATGAATAAATGTAGCAATGATACATCTTTTGTAAATAAGTTAAAATATTCATTTACAAATGATTAGATAATACTTTAATTTCTTTCATTTACGTTAAAAGCGCTTACTATTTATATTAGATTAAGAAACTTCTACCTAGATTTTTAAGAATAGGTTTTACAAACATTAGCATTATACTAAAAACACGAAAAAGAAAATGGAGCAATTATAACATTTTATATATAAGATTGCTAATGAGGACATATATCATATTTATCTTATATTAATATATTAAATACACCATATTAAATTACTAAACTAAATTTTCCTTAATAAAAAATTTTAATACTTCGCAACATGTACATGCGTTATAATTTCATTTTTAGATTTTGGTTAAAATGGGTTTTTAATGTAATTTTTAACTCAATGAATTTGAGTTAATTACAATGAATTTGAATTCATAGCAGATATTGCACTAATTAAAAGATTCACAACACTGGCGGCAATTCGGATTGGTCTTCTGGTTTATTTTTTTTTATAATTTGTGGTTGAGCACTGACTGCATAAGTGAGTGCAGTGAAGAGATTTAATTCGTAATTCACTTATATCAAATAGGAAATTTACGCAAGATAAGATGAGAAATTATGGCTTTGTGTTTATTGAGACATTTTCAATATCTGATTTAATCACTTTAGTAAAGTCAAGTTGACCAAACCTATTCTTTTAGAGTTCTAGATATTATTATTATTATATATTATTATTATTATATTATATATTAGATTATTATTATATTATATATTAGATTATTATTATATTATATATTAGATTATTATTATTCTATTAGAGTTCAATTAAAATATTATTTCGGTAAAGCTATTGGAAATTTATTTGGAATTACTTACTATAGAAAAAAAGAAAAAAAAAACACCGGGCTGATAGGTACAGATTTAGTTAATGATACTAAAAGATTCGTATTCAAATAAACCTTTCACATTGACTGAAAAATTGTTTGTTGAAAATGATATAAATAAGTTCTATTCTGAATTTAGTATAAGATTTTAAAAATTCGCTCATACTTGCTATATGAGATAATAGAAAAATAAATAATAGAACAATGTAAAACAACAGTAATGAAACTTATGTGAAGCTACTATTTAGCACTGTTAGTATTTTATTCGATTACCGAGCATTTTACTCGACATCGTGAGTACTCCTATTTTAAAAGAAGTAATATAATAGACTTGCTATTTAAAAGTTAGATATTAATATACGTTTTAGTTTCGTAATTAAATAAAAGTTGAGTTAATATCATATTTAAAAATGCAAAATAAAAAGGTTCTTCGAAAAGTAGTGAACTACAACAACAATAATTCATTCTTATATATTTTTAATTAATAGTTTTTGGCTGACCATATAGCTGTTTTGAGTATTGCCAAATATCCATCATAAGTGTTCTTGGAAATAATTCTTGTATTTAATTATTCGAAAATAGTTTTTCGAGACTGCAAGTACCAGGAATCAAACTTGTATTTTGTCTTAACCAACTGACCCAAAGCCGTACTTGAGTTTTATATTCGCACATTTTTCTGGAGTTTTGCTAAATGCAAAATATTAATTAGAATAAGCTGCACTTCTGAATATTAGTGTGCATACAACAACTATTAAAAATTATAGCATATATTATATAACAAAGGCTTGAATTTAGTTTTATCTGAAAAGAGTTTCTCGATTTTTGAACTCAACCAAGATCAATTTTAAAATATTTATATAGTAATCTGTGCTATCTGTGCATAATAAAAATTTAATAAGTAGAAACAATAAGCATGTTTTATTAAATCTATTGTATATTACACCATAAAAGTAAGTACTATCACTAAAATGAACGTGGCCTATAGACAAGAGTAAAAACAAAGCAAGTAGTAAGAATGAAAAGTAAACTTCCAAATGTGAGTAGTGGTAGGGGAATTAGTAAAATTTGAAGAATTTACTATTTAAATTAATAACTGCGTCAATTGTTAATCACATTAAATTAATATGTACTTTTTTAGCTTTTGGTAAAAGGGAAAGTAAATATTTTTGTATTCAATAACCATTTTAAAAAAGTTTGAAGAATTTTTTTAAGTAAAGAGAGATTATGTTGTACATGTGTTAATTCAAGAAATTCATAGATGTTAAGAGCAAAATTGTATCATGCAATTAATTTATGAAATATACTTCTATATGAAGTTGCTTGTTATACATTCAAAACAAAAAGCAATTTTGAAAAAATATTATATTATACTGCATTAAACAATTTCTATTTTAAGGAAAGAGAAGTAAAAAAATTACTTAAAATACTGTTTGAGAATGAATACAGAAACAATAAAATATTGAAACATCAAAGAAACCTATACGTTCAAAAAGAAATGTCATATAAAATACAGTCAACTATACATGTTATAATTATTATATATGTTTACAAAATTATATTATGTACTTATATTTGCATATATTTAATTAATTATAAGGAAATAGTTTTATATACAATCTTATTTGTGTTTACTTTATTGAAAACACTAAGATGCATAACAACGGTAGAGCAAAAAAGTGATGCAGAAATAATATTTTTACTAATAGGAAATATGTTATTTTAAAATTGCTAAATAATAGCAAAAATAAAATGATATAATAATATCTGCAACATATAATGATAAAAACAATTTAATTTAAAATCTTGTGCAAAACATTTTTTGTTGTATTTATGTTGAATATCCCAGCCTTGAAAGAGCAAAATACAGATATAGATTTTTTATTTGAATGGTACGTATTTTCACTTACCTTGTTTTCCATATTTTTTTTTTTGTTTTTTTTTTGCTAAATAAAAAATGATTCCAAATAAGTTTCCGCAGGTTGAAAAAGTAAATCAATATCCACACATCATAAGATTTAATGTTCAATTTGATATGTTTGACGTTAGTTAAACAGTTTTAAGAATTGTTTAATGTAAAAAAAAGAGAATTGCATTAAAAAATGTAAATATTAGAAATCAATTTACCACCAACAGTAATACTGTCAACCGAGTAACCATATGGTGCAAAATATGCAAGCTGCGCAATAAACTGCTTTTGTTGTGAAAAGGGGCGGTTGGTTACGCTGAGGTCTGCTCTGCCACGTGCTGCTGCTGTATGTAGATACAAACAAGCAACATGTGCATTTCTTTTTGGCTACTATTTTAGAACGTCCATCAATTCCAACGTATTCATCAGACTTCGAAGATAGAGCGTTTCTTGTCTGTCGTTTTGGAACCGTTGTTGGGGCGACGTGTTTACCAATACAGATTTGAGTTAATTTGATTTTAGGCAGACAAATTCGATTTTCAAACGTTAAACTTTAGTTGAAATCAGTTGTTTTAATTTTTATTGACAAATTTTTTTTTTATTTATTATTTATGATTTTTTTTTAAACTTCACTTGTTTTATAGGTGGCCATCGCGCGCATCGGTCTTTGGACAAGTACACACTTTTAGGCCTATTTGCAATGAAAAAATTCAAGTAAATTAAAAAATTCTTCTTAAATCATTATAATAAAAAAATACCTAATGGAGGATGGGAAATATTTGTAAGGGAATATCAATGATATATTGGAAAATAATGACGTAGGAATTAAAATGAATATATGAATACTATATACACAAAATTAAGCTGTCAAACTAAATAGTTTTTGTGAAAATTATCTTTGACTTAATCTCGTATTATATAAACTTAATCTTAATATTTGTATAATTACACACGAGTTTTATTTTAAAATTTCGCTTTTTTCCTAAGAAAATAATTATTTTCAATTTAGAAAAATCATGAATAGTCCATGGAAAATTACTTCCTTTTTATGTAATTAGTTTAATGTGAATTAATATTAGCAATTTTCCATGGATTTTTTTGATAAGATTAATCACCTTATTATTCTGTCTTCATTTGGACTTTTTAGTTGGCCATCCTCACTGCCCGACATAGTGTGCGATTCCGTTGGATTGAGTGCGCCACAGCTCCAAAAATTTTGCAAATTCTCTTAAATAACGTGCAATGTTCAAATAACTAAATTATTGAATTAAGTATACACTATTTTTAAAATATTATTAAACTAAATTGAAGTTTCTAAAATTTTCTTCAATCTTTAAATTTTACTTTTTTCAGATTCACTCATGCTCTATTTCTCTATACACTCTTACAACAAAATCATGAATAATTTCTTGAACGTTTGACAGACAAAGCAAGGAAATTCCATTAAGAAAATGGCGGATTCGCTTTAGGGAAATTTTAAAAGCATTGCCAGCATACTAAGTTTAAAAATATTTTAATTTTCAAGAAAGATATTTGTAACTGAAAATTGTTATTATACATAATGCACACTGCAGCACATAGCTTTTTTTAATTATTTCAACATTTTTATTAAAATTAAAAGCTAAAAGTTAACACTAGGTTAATAAGCAAATTTATGTGAAGTTTACATTTTTCAAACAAAACAAATGATAAATATGTTAAATTTTGGTAAGTTACCTTGTGGGAAATTTATTTTAAGGCACTTCCTCATTTATATTAATGAGCGTACGTTCACTTTATAATGAACTCATTTATGTAGTTGATGCAACTTAAAAATATAGTACACATAAAAATTAATTATACAATTGATATATTAAATCATTTATACACATTTTATATATCAATTACATATTCAATTCATAAAAGCAAAGATTTTATTATATGCTTTCTTCGTTAGTGCCTTTGTTTACAGCTCAGCTGTTGTTTATTTACATTTTACATATAAAATATATGACATATGCTTCAAATTTCGGTCATTTCCCTTATGGAAAATTTATTTTTATGATTTGCATTTGGCATTTTTCACTTTAAATGAGCTGATTTATTGTTAATGAGCTCAAATTTATAAAAGCTCTTCCAACATCCGTACCATGTAGTGCGGATTACTGCATTAAACTTAATTAGACGAGTGTTCAACATAAGCGATTCAATTTTCCATAAGGAAAATGAAGAAACACTTATTGTTATATTAACCAAAAATCATTTCCAAATTAACATTATAAAATCCTTGATAAAAAAAAGCAAAAGCTATTGAAAGTATAAAATCGAAGGGTGAACCCAAAACTTATGTATCAATCATTTGCATACCTAGCTTCCCCGAAAACTTTCAAAAATCAAAATGCTACAACAAAACAACACATAAAGAACGGGAATCGCTGGACATAAACATGATCTGAATAGTCGCCCTACATCTAAAAATATGTAAGAAATACATAAAAATATATTTGACTAAGACAACACTGGTTGCCATTCGTATTAAAAATTACTATCCTCTTTTTCATATTTTTTTATTTTATTATTTATATGACTTTTGACATTAAAATTTTTTTTTATAACTGTAATAACACAGTAGATGGTCTACGAAGTAGTCTGAAATATCTGTTAATAAAATATATTACGTAAGTTAACAACTGTGATATTTTTATTTAATCTTAAGTTTGTTTTTTATGTAATACAAGTTATTATATAAATATATGAATTTAAAAACACGAGCTGAAGCCCGGTAATTTAAAACACATAACTATTTGCTTTTTCCTTATTTCAAATAGCTTAACAACGTAAACATTGAAGCACTGCGGATTTACTGGTGTCAGTGGATAATATATTTTTTTAATGTATATTATCATATTTATTTATTTTATTTATCATATAATATTATCACATATTATTTAACATATCAATTGAAAAATATTAATAATAAAAAATGCGATATGTAACCAATTTCCAGACACTACGTCAGCATAAGATCATATATCTTTTTGCATTCTTATGCTGAAGTACGTGTCGAACGAAAAAATCAAAAAATGCGTTTTCAGTTCTAGAAAAGCGCTTCATAGTAAGCTAACGTGTTTTGTTTAATTTTGTGGATAAAGTCTTCATAGAAGACAGAAAAATTGACTATAGAACAATTGCACTAAGGTTGTGTGCGAGTTAGGCTAAGTTGATGCTAAACCAAATGGGAGATTTTTTGGGATTTTTTGCACTGCACACATTTTGCCATTTATCAACACGTATTGACACATCAATACATTATCGACACAACTTAGAATTTCCCACATTTAGAACACAACTTAGGACGTGTGCGAGTTAGGCTAAGTTGATGCTAAACCAAATGGGAGTGTGTGCAGTGCAAAAAATCCCAAAAAATCTCCCATTTGGTTTAGCATCAACTTAGCCTAACTCGCACACGACCTTAGTCGTATTTTTATGTGAGTAAAACATTTAAACATGGAACTTATTTTGTTTTCTGTTGTTTATATGAAATTAATGATAATTACCAAGAGATTAAGTTGGCAGTATTGTACTGTCAAAATTAGCCGCTGTATTGTCATATGTTCCAGTTAAAGTAGCTAATTTTTGTTGTATTCATAATGATTTGAAATCTTTGTAATTTTTTAAAGTAAAGAATGCTGAAGAACTTGAAGTCGGTGCTTGTGATTGGAGCCAAAGCTTCGCAAATAAGATGTACATCAGTAATTCGAAACTACTCACAAGCAGATCAACATAATATTAAAGATTCTAATATTGAGCGATTAAAACGCGAGCTAGAAACGGATAAAGTTGCTTTGAAATGGAGAACACCAGTTGGCGAGGACCCGAAAGATTGGACCAGTAAGATGGCTTTGTTTTCAAATAAAGAAAGTAATTCTGATTTTATTATAATGATGCAAAATCCTATAAATTGGACACCGAAAGCAATAAAGGCCTGGTGGCAAAAGCGTAACGTATTTGTGGAACGACATATGCAACAATATGTGCCATTACGTCATGAAATACTTGGGTCAGATTTAGCAGTTGCACATTTCATACTCTTTAGAGGAGGTACAGTTAAGTTCACGCATAGTCCTAATTGGATGCGTGCTAATAAAGATCAGGAATTTGATTTGCCTAATAAATTTGACCCTTTGTACAAAATTGAGGCTTTACGTTGCGATAACATGACACTATATTACGAAGGGCTTGAAAATATACGTTGTTTGAACTCTTTAAAGCTTCTTTCTTTTCGCAATGTGAAAACGTTTGATGACTGGTGCTTAGACCGTGTATCTGGAGGAATATACCCACAACTAGAAACTTTGGACATTTCTGGTACACAAATCACTGCAAGAGGCCTTTCATGCTTATATCGATTAAGCTCCTTAAAGTTACTCATTGTTAGCAATCGGAATGAATCTATTGAGTTCGAACTTACATGTGCTATGTTAGAAGAAGCTTTACCCAACATAACTATTGCAAATAGCGATGAAGAACAAAAAAGAGTTAAAGAGTAACATTTTCTCAGACTTTAAATTTTTATGTTTTATTTATTGAAATATATAATATAATTTAAATCGTAGTAAAAATTTTATTGTTGTTTTAAGGAGTTTGGGGCTTTGTTTTCATATATTCTGCTTTGATTCTTGCTCGATCTTCTACTGGAGGCAAATAAGGTTCAATGCCATTTCTTCTTCTTTCTAATCTGACTTTGTTCTGAAAGTAGTACAAATGATATGGAATAGTGGATAAAATGCGGACACTTACCCAAAAATCTTTGCATTTGTTATAGTTGGCGAAATAAACCTCACATTTTTCATGTTCAAAATTGTTTTGACTTAAACATTTAAAAGACAGTTCTTGTTCCTGTTTATTAAATTACTATATCAAATAACACAAAAAAATATATTTTATTAACCTTTAAACAGGGGTTCGTTCTCTCAGCATCCAAATTTCGTGACATGCTTAGTTCTGTATTACATAAAAAACAACAAATTCAACCAGCCGGTGTGGATGTGGGAGTGAGCCGCTGTAAAAATTTGTTTTGACAGCCTCAATAATGTAAATAAAAAATGAGCTGCTGAGCCAATGTCAATACCACAATAAGAATTTTTTGTATTTCTTATTAAAATGACTGCAATAAATTTTGAAATTAAACTTAAACGAGAAAATAAAATATATTTTGAAGGTGTAAGTAAATTAAAAATTAAAAAATTTTAAATTTGAATTTAATTGTATTTATGGAATTTGACTTTTTATGTCATAGGAAATTCTATCAGGTTGTGTGCAATTTAATTGTCCTTCCGAAGCAAAACATGATGGAGTTACATTATCTCTGGAAGGAGTGGTTAATTTACAGTTGAGTACTAAAAATGTTGGGCTTTTCGATGCATTTTATAATTCCGTTAAGCCAATAACTTTGCTCAATAATACATTGGAATTAGCTGCACCTGGTAAATTAGCACAAGGCATCTCTGAATTTCACTTTGAGTTTCCTTTAACGTGCAATAAAGAACCACGCATTCTGTATGAAACGTATCACGGAGTTTTCATAAATATTAACTATCAATTACGTTGTGATGTTAAACGTAGCTTTTTAGCGAAATCCTTACAGAAAACGCAACAATTTTGTATACAATATAAACCGACTGCCACCGATTTAAAAAAATCTTCGGAAGTTAACTTCAGTGTTAGTCCAGAAACATTGCAGAAAACAGCAAAAGAACGTATATCTATACCACGTTTTCTTGTAACAGGAAAGTTGGATAATACGGAATGTTGTATCACCGAGCCTTTAACAGGACATGTAATTACATTTGCCATTATTAAAATTTGTTATTTTATTGATATATAATTTTTTATTGCAGTTTATTGTGCAGCATACAGAGGCCGCTATTAAGTCCATTGAATTACAATTGGTACGTGTGGAGACATGTGGTTGTGCTGAGGGCTATTCAAAGGATGCAACAGAAATACAAACATTACAAATAGTAGATGGAAATATTTGCCCAAAATTAGAAATTCCTATTTACATGGTATTACCACGATTGTTCACTTGTCCAACTCTGATAACCAAAAATTTTAAAATAGGTCAGTAAAAAAATATCGCATTAATTTTTGTTGCATAAAGTTGGCTTTTAATTTCAGAATTTGAACTCAATTTAATTGTTATATTTAAAGACGATTATATTGTTACTGAGAATTTCCAAATCACTTTTAAACGTACTGCTTCTCCGAATGGAAAATTGAAAAATTGTGGTGGGTAATTAGAGTACGATTAAGGCAAACCTATAAAGCCATAATTAAAATGAGTTTTACATATTGACTTTGATAAAAAGAAAGTTTAAGTTGGTTTTAATTTAATAATTATCACTTCAACTTTAAAAACAGAAAGTTACTTTATACGCAAGTAATTAGACCTGCAATTCTGTACGGATGTGTTACATATAGCAAAGCCTCAAATACCACCTTAAAGCAATTACAGATAGCTCAAAACCTGGCCTTAAGAAAACTGTTTAAGATTCCATGGTACATTAGATCAACGGACATACATAGAGATCTTAGGATTGACTCAGTGAAAAAATATATCAGAGACAGAGCTTTAAAATTATTCACTAAAGTTGATACGCTACTTAACCCTGCCATGACAATCCTCAAGTCCACTTCTGGACTCTCAGGAAGATATGCTGATTTAAGGTCCGTCATCAATTAAAAGACAAATAAATGATATGATTTTTTAGCCTAGTTAAAGCCTAGTGTGGGGTAGTGATAAACCCCCCCGCCATTATAGAGTAAAAGTGCGTAATAGCACTAACTCAAGAAGAAGAAGAAGAAGAAGAAGAATTTATAAATTGAAATTTATAAATTCAAATATAAGTTGATTATTTAATATAGATAATTAATAGGTATATATAAAGAAATAATAATAATAATATGTAAAAACGCATATCCAGACAATTAGAATTAAATTTGTTTTCATATTTTATAGTAACAAAGAAAACTATAAAAATATTCTCGAAATATACTTATATATTATAAAATATATTTGGTTTTTTAAAATTTTATTGTTTTTGAATGTTTTATCATAAACAACTTTATTTCTGTATTTGTTTCAGTAATCTCTTTTATAGAATATAATATTAATAAAAATTTTGGATAGTAATAATATTTCGTATTAATATTCTCTTATGAATATATTATTTATATAAATGATAAAAATTGATATTGTTTCGAAATTATATACGTAATCCTATGTTTATAGAACTTTATTGGTGTAAATAAATAATTAAAAATATTGAATAATGTCTCTTAGTGGCAAACATTTCTTATATATAGAATTAATAATTATTTGATTTATTGATTTAAGAGGTATTTTGAAAATTGTGTTGATAAACTTTTAGAAGAATTCGTAATAAAAGAAATAAATTAACTTTTTCTAAATATATATTGTATTAATAATTATTGATTATTTGTTAATGTTTTATGACTAAAGTGAATTTTCAATAAAAACTGTTTTTATTTTAGTTATATGTATATATTTTATATAGAAGAAGACTATATAACTAAATATATTGTTTTTATTATAGAAATTCATATAAATTTCAAAAAAAAAATAATAGTTTTATTGTAATAAAATAATGTATTCTTAACAATAAAAAAAATTTGAATTTTATTATGTGCAATTTTCACTGATATTGGCATTAAAATTAATTATAAAAAAAAAATTAAATAAAAAACTTTTTATATCATTAATTTTTAAGTTTGGAAATTGTCTTTATGTACATTTCTTTGTTTGCTCATAGTTGTTGTTGTTGTAGTAACCCGCTGGGACCTGTAAGCAGATAAACATGAAAGGAAACACGATTACATGAGTAGGGAATGGGAAAGATTAGATGGGTAGTAGGAGAGACAAGGGGGAGAGGAGGAAGGATGAGGAGGAATAGGGATAAGGAATGTACATGAACCTTCATCCTGGATCCAGGCGGAGAAACCTGGCCACTTCAATGGGGTGAGTCCAAAGGTTAATTGGACGAAGATTAGTGTGTGCAGAAGGACATGAAAACAGATGGGCGACGTCATGGGGAGAAGCGCTGCAGTTTGGGCACACGTTTTGGATGGACGTATTTATGCGAGACAAGTAACTGTTTAGCACTCGGCTATATCCTGATCTCAATTGAGCAAGGACAGTTCTTGCTGCACGAGGTAGCGAACGTTCATCCGAGGAGATATTAGGCGGAGGCCTATTAAGAACCTTGTTGTTAGACAACCTAGGTCTCGAAGAAGATACTGCATCGGTGTGGAGGGCTATAAGTCCACGTTTGTATTCGACCTCACTGATGTTAGCTCCGTTGCAAAATGCGTCGATAGAATTATTAAAAGAGAGGAGAGATCGACGAATGCATCTAGGAGGGAGGGCACTACTAGCCATAACGCCATTTGGATGACCATCTGTGTGGCACGCGAGAAGATATTGTTTGGACAGTAGTTGATTATGCTCTTTTACAAGAAGCATTTTTGATTCTGCATGAAGGTGGTCGACATGCGACATGCTATGGCAGCCAGTTGCAACCCGCAATGCCGTGTTTTGACATGATTGGATCTTAGTTCATTGCATCTCGCAGAGTTGTGGGGTCCATACTGGAGCTGCATAGGCCGCAATAGGACGTCCTATTGCTTTGTATGTAGTCAGTAGGGTTTCTTTATCCTTGCCCCATGAACAACCTGCGAGAGCTTTTAACACATTATTACGCGATTTCAACCGGTCACATACAGCAGACGCATGTGCAGAAAAAGTCAGCATACTGTCGAGAACGACACCCAGGATTTTTGGTTTGGTGGTGGTAGGGATCCTGATTTCACCGATATTTATGGGCAGAGTCAAGGAAACCTCTTTAGTCCAGGAAGTAAAGAGGGTGGCAGAAGATTTATTTGGTGATAGTTGAAGATTTCTATCAGCCAAACATGTTGCCAAGGATGGTAGATATGCATTTAACCTGTTGCACAATATTGAAGGGTCCTGGCCCGTAGCAAGAATAGTGCAGTCATCTGCATAGGTAATGACTCTGACTCCCTCGGGGGGGTCCGGGAGTTTAGACATGTATAAATTGAAGAGGATCGGTGAAAGAACGCTGCCCTGGGGAACACCTTGTTTCAATTTCCTAGCCTTAGACACATTATCTCTAAAGTCAACAAAGGATGATCTGCCAATAAGGTAGTTGCAGAGCCATCGTTTGGTAGAGTCAGGGATAGTTGTTTCGGCTAAGTCATCTAACAGCGTCCTATGGGAGACTGTGTCAAATGCTTTTGCGAGGTCAAGGGCAACCAGCACCGTGCGTTCACACGGGCGACTTTGATTTAAGCCATTTGAAATTTGAGATGTGATCTCACAAAGAGCTGAGGTGGTACTGTGACGTTTACGAAAACCATGTTGATGAGGTGCTAGATGAATATGAGGGGATATTTGCTTGAGAACTAGAGACTCCAGAACTTTGGCTACTGGAGATAGCAAGGATATCGGTCTGTATGATTCACCTAGGCCTGCCAGTTTACCTGGTTTCAACAATGGAATAATCCTACCAGTCTTCCAAATGTTAGGGATGATGTGTGAACTGATGGAAGAGTTCAGAATATTCGTCAGAGCTGAAATACCAAAGGTCCCGAGATTCTTGAGCATGAGCATGGAAATGCCATCAGGACCAAGAGCTTTCGAGGCTTTGGCATGTCTGATCGTATTAAGTACATCATCCGAGGAGAGCAGCGTGGTGTCGTCGGAATGTGGCTTCCTAAAAGTGCGTTTCTGTCTGCGTGAAACAAGAGAAGCAGAAGCATTGGGCACGAAAAGACGACAAAATTGTCGGGCGCAATGCTTGGGATCAGGGAAGGTGATCCCATTAAATGATATCGCCTTGTTGTTGGAACGGGAAGGATTAGAAAGAGCTTTAATGGTAGTCCACAATTTACCATTTTGAAGATCGCAATTGTCTAAATGTTCCTTCCATTTACTAAGACGATGATCGTCCACCATTTTACGGATGTTATTGTTCAGGACTTTTATGTGTGGATTGGCTGGATTTAATCTTCGAAGATTATCACGTTCTTCAGCAAGAGGCACAGCGTCGCTGGGAAAACCTGGTCTAATGGTTTTATATCTACCTGCAGGGACGGCTGTGGCTGCAGCTTTAATGATAATGCTGCGAAATTGTTTCTCTGCCTTGTTCAAATCAGAGGACAGAGAAATGTTGCTGAAGTCGCGTTCAGATATATCTTTGAAAAGGGCCCAATTCGCTTTTTTGAAATTTCTGTAGGTTTTCTTGTCAGTCTCCGCGAGGACCTCGATTGATGGAATAGAAATTGTGATGGGAGTGTGATCTGAGCTTAAAGCTATGTCAACACTCCAATTCGAGGCAGCGAGAAGCCTAGGGCTTGCGAGACTGACATCAGGAGAGCTGGAACAAGTCGGCGTTACCCCAGTGGAGGAGTCCTCATTTAGAACACCAAAAGAGGATTCATCAATTTGGGATGCCAATTGCAAGCCTCTCTGATCAGTTGGTAGGTTGGAAAACCACAGAGAATGGTGTGCATTCAAATCACCCAGTACAAAACGCGAATCCCCATCAAGAAGATGTGAAATATTTGGGGTGTGCTGCGGGGGGCAGCTAGAGTTGGGTGGCAGGTAGATGTTGATTAGTTCAAGGAACCTTGAAGTCCTACCAATGAAAATTTTTAACCCTATAACCTCCAAGTATTCGTCATTAGACGGGGGCAAAGTAAGCTCACAATGAGATGTTGAATCCCGCAACAAAAAAGCAACGCCTCCTCCAGCGCCCCTAGGTCGATCTTTACGAATGAGTGTAAAGCCTGAGGGGAGAGAGAGAGAGGAGTTGGGCAATAGTTTAGTCTCCTGCAGTGCAGCTACCGCAATGTTATTGGAGGTCATGAATGCTGCAATTTCAAACAGTTTCCCTCTTAGACCGTTACAGTTAAACTGTAGAATTTTGAGGGGAGATGAACTATTAATTACAGAGACTACGCTAGAGCGATGCGGGTGTGAGTGGTTTTGTGGTGGAATAATAGGCGGAGTTTGGCAGCAACTGCCAATGAAATTTGAATTCCAACCATGATGCGAGGCCAATCCGGAGCAAGGTCTAAGGTGACACCAGCCGTTACAAGAATTGCAACGGACGGAGATGGTGTTCTTAGAGATTACTCTTTTATGTACACACAGTGCAAAGCCAAGTGGTGAGAGAATTAGAAGAGGTATTGATTGGAAAAGGACTGCCGGAAGTAGACGAAGAAGGAGATTGTCTGTGTAGAGGGGCTGGAGGACAGCAAGCACCTCTAAAAGCAGGATTCCAATCAGTATGGCTATGCAACCC